AGAAAAGAAAAAAAGAAAAAAAAAAAAATTATCACAGGCGTCAAAGAGTGAGATCCTTGATTCCCTTCCTTGCTCTCTCGGAACATTGAAACCTATACAACCCCAAGGTCAACAGTGCAAAGAATCGAAATCAATACAGTACTCAAGTCTCCCCAATTAGTATAGTTACCAATCCCGCGCCACCATACTAATAATAGAGTGCCAACCTTGCGTACTACGATGGAGTAGGATATTGTTGCGATTACCATACAGTAAGAAGAATCCCCATATTATGTACCAAAGCGGTTTCACTGTATATCATCATAAAACCCATTGAAGGTGTTGTTGAAGACAATACATGTCCGTATCTATGTACTGTACTGTATGTATGTCCACTACCTCTCACGCCGTGGACAGGGTAAACCATCTCTTCTGGAAGGGTCATAACCCAACCTAGGTTCTGTAATGAAGGACCATAGGTGGCCACAACCCGCCACCCAATCACTAGCCAGCGCCCAACGCGCAAGCCCCTTGGTGCTCCTTGTTGAACCGTCCCTGTGTGTCTGATCGGCGTTTCACATCTTGGGGAATCTCATATGTTGTCTAAGAATGATTAATTAGTTAATTTGGGCTCACTCTGCAATCTGTTTCCCGGCGCTACTCCGTACAGTGGTTATTGTTACCAGTCCCTGGCGCAGAAGTTGGTTACCAGTATATTACACCAGATACTACTTGACAGGGTACTACAGGTATCATGTGATATGATACGTTACCCTTGTTCGCCTCGTTATCCTCTTCCAGTTCTTCTGTTCAACCTTGAAAATCCCTATCATCATAATAGCCTGGCACGAGGTCCTAATTTAACTGCCGAGGTATCCACCCACTCCCAGCCCCTCTGGAGATTATGTACGTATGCCTATATCGGAATTTCAGGAATTATACAATATGCACACCCATTTGCCTCCTCCCAAAATTCTATCCCCAGCAACCCCTCACTTTAGAGGCCGTCCAGGCTCGGAGATACTTTAACCCTATGCACTGTCCCTGGAACTACTGTAACCTAAAATCAATCTGCGCGGATGGCAGGCTACCTATTCGGGGGCACGTGACTTGCGATTAACACAGGCATAGCTGTCTCCTCCATGATGAACACTTGCATCGAGCAGCAAATTCCATGATTGAACAGGTCAAATACGGAGAGAAGTATTACGGATAGGCTATAGCAGTCAATCAACATCGATAATTAGCATGATCTCTTTACTCCGTACGGCTACCCGGGACTCCCCGCCGTACCAACACAAACATCCATCCACCTTATTTAGTCTCAAATACTGAACCCTCCCCTGAATACAAAGAAAGCGACAGCAAAATCCTCAGAAGAAACGCCGTAGATCAAGATGAGAACTAAGATATCATTGTGCACCCCTTGAGAGGCAAGGGCCCAAAAGGTGAATAACCCACGGCACCGGTGCTGAACTGCTATCTGGGTATAGCGCTTTTTGATGAGAAAACCTTACACGCCGTATAACGCCGAAACCATCAAGTGGTATCACTCGAGCCAGAAGTCACAAGCAATGCAACAAAAGGGGGGTGAGATGAAAGGAGGATATTAGGTAGTCTCAAGTCGAAATAATGTGTACAAACCTAAACTTACGAGCCGTATTCGCATAACGAGAGGGTTGAAGGTATACCGTTGAAGAGCATACCTCGAGAGGGAATCAATGAGTTATGAGGGTGATACATACCTGAAAAAGTGAGGTGTTTGTGAGACTCGATACGCTGGATAGTTTTATTAGTAGTTAGGTCATAGTTGACCCTGGCGGAAACAATACTGTAATCAGTATGAACCGAAAGGTGTAGTGTCTGGTTCGACAAGACCAACAACGGCCCGCATAGCCCAGAGTGGAGTTCTAGACTGGAAAGTAAGAAACTTATAAAACTGGAGATCACGATGATCTGGAACGTTTAGCGTCCGGTGTAGGACTCTCGGCCAGCTCGAACTCATCTTCCGGCTCGCGGTGTCGTTTAGTAGATGCTGGGCCAGGTGATTTTGTGTCAAGCTCCTCAGCATCACCGAGATCTTCTGCGATCCCCAGATCCAGATAATCTTCGTCGTCAAAATGCAACTCTTCGATTTCCTGGGTGGTATGATTTGAGGCGATATGCTCAGTCGCATCATTAAATTCCTCAGGGAGGTCTGTGCCCTCGATATCATTGTCCGTAGTCGACGAGTTTCGAATAGGACTATTTAGGATGTCCTCGGCGATGCCTAATGAGTCATCGGCCAGGTCGGGGCTGGGTTGAACATTGTTTCCTGACAGATCTGAGCCAGTGTTATCCAATTTAGGCAAAGCATCACTCTTATTGCCCTGCAATGTCTCTTCGGTTTCATCGTCTTGATATTGAGACGTAGCGCCTCGGCCTCGGACTGATTGTCTTCATCAAGTACTTTCGAAGTTTCCTCCCGAAGCTCTTCTGTGATTGACTCAGCTGCATTATGATCATGTCCATGATCAGAAGCATCGGCCTCAACCTCCTCGGTACTGTCATTGTGATTGGGATTGATCGAAATCTCTCCCTCTTCGGGATAGTCTCCGTCGCTGGCGCTTCCCAGGCCGTATTGTGCTTCATGGTTATCATGGGCTTGGTGATCATCATGTGGAGCATCCGTAGAGTCGTCAGGATTTGGCTGTTCCTCTGTCAGATCAGTTGCCGAGAAATTAGTGATAGTAGCAGTCGATTCTGTATGCTGCTCCTCCTCAGAGTCATACGGTTCTTCATCTAGTGACTGATGATCGTGAAGCTCAGGGTTCTCAAGTTCTGGCTGAGGGGGGGTTGTGGTTTCACCATCATCGTTGATCTCTTCAATGGTGCCACCCGATGGATCAGCACCTACATCGTCACTTTCTGGATATTGTTCATCCGGTTGGGCCTCCGCAACTTGCCGCTCGTGGACATCTGACTGGGTTTCATCAACTTCCTGCGACTCAGAGGGGTGATGCTCTTGTTGATCGGAGATGCCTTGCTGTTCCTCGCCGGAGTTCGCTTCCTGATCATCTCCTTCAAAGATTTCTGCCGAAACTGCTTCCACTTCTTGATAGCCATCCCATGAATGGATTTCAGACAGCCCTTTTCCTTCGCTGGCAGCCAGGAGAAGGTCGGACACCTCCGCAGGTATATTCAATTTCGTGGTGAGACTTAGATAGAGCGGCTCAGGTTCATCAATTCCATCATTGTGACACAGCTGGAGATACAGATCCACAATCTGGCACAAAGTCACCTTTGATATATGTAAAGAATCCTAGGTTGTCAGTTAGCATCTGTACAATGAACATTGGAAGGCTGACGAACCTCAGTTAGCTGAATGTTCAAAGCATCAATATCCATAACGAGAACATCATTCTCTCCAACATTTCCTTGGAGCACTCGACGGCAGGACTGAAAGAGTTCTCCTAATGGTGCGTATGCGAGATTTTCATCTTCGAGAAAAAATGTCTCGGAGGAGTCACCCTCCTGGGGAGGGAATAGTGAGATTTCGTTGTCTTGGTAGTACACTCTCACAGGATACAACGAAGAATCCTTAGTCGTATCCTGCTCTTGCTCGTCGTCTTCTGCAAATTCTGTCTCCTGCCCATGAGACTCATCATGTTCTGTGTCATGCTCTGTGGTTTTCTTTTCTTCCGGTTCCAGTTCTTTGTTCTTGTCCCCTGTTTGCCGACTTTCATCTGCATCATCTTCATGGACTTCGGGGTTTTCGGCGCCAGCTGTATGATCCTCATGATCACTAGGAATTTCGTGTATATCTGCTTGTTCTGGTTGGTTAGTGTCAACGACGTTATTATCCACCTCTGCAGACTCAGGCTGGTCCACTTCAGCCTCTTGGGCGATCTTGTTTTCATCTTCATGATGGTGCCCTGGGGGAGCTTCTTCCGAAAAATATTCTTTAGGTGCGTCATCTTTGGGGGGTGCGGATTCGGCATCATTCACGGAATGGGCTTCCGCAGTGTGATTTTCGCTAGCGGCCTCATCGCTTTCATTCTTTTTGGTTAAAATTTGTTCTGATGTTACTTGATTATCTGCAGGCTCAAGGGATGTCGGGGCTTCTTGAGATTCGGGTACAGGGACTTCTGGAACAGGGGCATCAATGTCTTCATCGTAATCATCTTCTAGCATTTCCGCCTCATAAATCTTCTCGGTGCCGTACTGCATCTCGACACTGTAGCTTGTCTCTGCATACTGGTCGTCCACATCGAGCATGGCTGGTTCGGCGACCTCATCTATCATATCCGCATCGTTCGGGTCGTCTTGTTCGTATTCTGTTCCATGAGGAGCTTCTTCATATTCGTCGGCCCCTATCATATCTCTGTCGGTGTTTGAAGCTTGGTCATCCATGACATCAAGGTCGATGTCGAAATCATCGGCATGCCCCTGGTAAGGTGATGCCATCTCCATCGTGTCATCAATGACAGGGGGTTCCATTGCAGAAAAGGCTAATGAAGAGGTTGTGGCCATGGCATGAATGTATTAAAAAGTAACAGGTAAAGGGAATCGCGTAAGATTTCAGCGTGGCGTCCCAGCTGTCAAGGTTGGAGTTTGAATAGTTATAGGTGTGCCTGCTACGCTTACTAAGAAGAAAAAAGAAGGTCTCAACCAACACGTAAAGTAGAATAGATAGAGACCCTTTCGACAACCGTCAGTATGGGAGAAAAGTGAAAGATAAAAAGAAAGGAGATAGAGGTCGGTGACGGGTTGACGGGTTGTTAGTCGTGTAGAGGTCGCCAGCGGCAAAGTTGGGCTCTCTCAGTCTCTCTCTTGTGCTGTGGTAAGCGAGGGGGTAGCGCTGTGCACGGGCCAACGGAGAGACAGAAGTGAACAGCAAGCGGCTCCGCCGCTGGAGTGGAATACCTGGCATTGCATTCGGTCACAGTCTGGACACGCTTTCAGACAATCGGTCATTCGACTAAAGCTGCCATTCTGCTCGACTACCATTGAGACGGATTTAGACCGTTTATTATACAGTCATGGTCTGTTGCCACTCTTAGTGATCCCACTAAATCTTACTGACCGTTGTCAACACACAAACACAGGTCGTACTCGCAGCGTCCATATGCACCCGCGGGGGTAAAGCAGTTCTTTCGCGCCAGTTCCGTGAGATTTCTCGCTCCAGAATCGAAGCTTTACTCGCATCCTTCCCGAAACTGGCAGATTCTGGCACCCAACATACCACCGTTGAACAAGACAATGTCCGCTTTGTGTACCAGCCCCTGGATGAGCTATACATTGTCCTGATTACCAACCGTCAATCCAACATTCTGCAAGACATCGATAGCCTCCACCTGTTTGCCCAAGTTACTACCAGTATTTGCAAGAGCTTAGATGAACGGGAAATTTTGCGCAATGCTTTCGAGCTCCTCAGCGCATATGACGAGCTAGTGACGCTGGGATACAGGGAGAATCTATCGCTGTCGCAGATCAAGACTTTCTTGGAAATGGAGAGTCACGAGGAGAGAATTCAAGAGATTATTGAACGGGTAGATATCTCTACTAGGCAAGCGGCTGGTTCCTTGCTGACTTTACTCTGTAGAACAAAGAACTCGAGGCGAGCGAGGAGCGCAAAAGAAAAGCCAAACAACTGGAGATGCAGCGAAAGGAGGCAGCTCGCACCGGTCGTGCCATGGCTCCACGCACCCCGTCCTATCCTGTCTATACTCCCCCATCGCGACCTGCCGTACCCGATACCTACGATTCCTATGAAGCAGAGAAGAAGAAGTCATTTGCCAAGTATGTGTCTGTATATTGCTACCTTTGTTGCTGTCACTAACAGGCGACATTTTTCAGGCCATTGCCAACTAGAGGGAAGGGCATGCAGCTGGGAAAGAAGTCAAAAACCACGGATATATACGAGAAAGTCCGCGGCGATCTGGGCCCCGAATCTGAGGAGTCTAGCCCTCTAGTCACCCCCCAAGTCTCAAGTCCTGTCGTCGGGGAGACTTCGTCTGCTCGCGCCTCTCTCTCTGTTGACCGGGATCCTGTTCACGTTACTATTGCAGAAACAATCTCTGCCAGTCTTACACGTGAAGGTGCTCTGAAATCCTTCGAAGTCAAGGGCGACTTACAGCTCCGCATCTCCGATCCGTCATTCACTAAGGTCAAACTTGACCTTGCCACCAACCCTACTCATGGAGCTCAGTTCCGTACACATCCAAATGTTGATAAGGCTGCCTTCACCGACTCATCTGCCATTCAACTAAAGGATTCGACCAAGCGATTCCCGGTTAATAACTCAATCGGCGTCCTGCGTTGGCGTGTCGCTAGCTCGGATAATGCTGATATGCTCCCTATCACCTTCACCGTCTGGGTGAACAAGGGATCCGATTCCACTACAGTCACCGTTGAATACGAGCTCACTGGGTCGGACGATCTGCGTGACGTTGTTGTTACTATTCCATATGGCGAAATAGAACCGTCTGTATCTAGTTTTGATGCTGTGTACGAAGTGACCGGAGATAGCATCGACTGGAACATCGGAACAGTGGATGAAACCAACGCGTCTGGTAGCTTCGAGTTTGAATCTACCGGCGATTCTGATGAAAATATTTTCTTCCCGATGAACGTTCGTTTCTCCAAAACGAATCCGTTCGTTGAGGTTGATGTTACTGCCGTCTCTCTATTGGAGATGGATGGCGAAGAAACCGGGTTCAGCAAGGAGGTGAAGAGCATTGCAGATGGTTATTTGATCAAGTAATACCGTTTTGGGTGTATAGAGTACTAATGATGTTCGGATTGCCTTCAAGATTTTATCACTGCAAATTTCCTCTTTTCCTCTAATACTGTTGACCAGGGCTCTTTTGTTCTTATATTCTCAATTCAAATTATCATCCCTGCCTAGTTGTCTATATGAGAATGGTAAAGTCGGTGTACACGATTTTAAACCAAGGGAGGGGCTAGCACTCTTGGGGTCTACTTTGAGTATAGGCGATCTATACCAAAGATCATATTTCTACATACCTAGGTTCACAAAAGGGGCAAGTCTGTTCCAACCATATATTGACCGCTACTGAACATAGGTCACTTAAGGAAACACAGAATCTAATTAGAAAGTCGATAGGGTTGTGTCTCTGGATTATACATATGTATATTTTTCTTTTTCTTTTTTTTATTCTCCTTGGTGGAATTAATTTCAATCTTCGTAGGACGACAGGAGGGCACATGAAACGATAAGTTTTGTTGTCTTTTTATTATGTGGCAATTGTCAAGTCACCTGCCTTTAGTGTTCTTTGGTCATTACGGCGTGCTTCTCGCTCTTGAACCACCCCTGATCTTGGACACTCGGCATCGACAGCACCCGATACTAATATTGAAGTATGTGCGTATGGGCGAGAATGAGACATTTAGCCCGCGCTGACCATGGCTCTCGATTAAATGGATGTCGTCGAAACTGGGTCATTCGGATGTAATGAAAGACGTCAGCACCGATAGGCACAGTCTCCCATCCGCCATGACGGGGCGGAGCCACGGAGGACAAAGCTGAAAAGGGCATAAACGACTCTCGGCTCATGCTTAGTGTATACAACACTCTGTCAATCCTCTCATTGATTGATCCTCCATGCTTCTCCGTACCCCCAACACTCCGCCATGGATGGTCAGCCTTTCGGTGAGGAGGTGCAAACTATTTCACATGAGCTACTGGCTATTGGATCACGTTTAAAGTACGGTAACCAGGAGTCCTGGGAAGCTGTTGGGGTATCCTCCCCTCTTCTACGCCACTGCCCCAAGTGGTCATCCCCTTGGCGATCAGGTGGGGTGTAAGGGCAAGTCGACGGGGATCTCAGTCAACCAAGGCGCGAGGGGCGTAATTTCCGTGCGTATGTCTTACTAACCCTCAGACGAAATATCGAAACTTGGCTTGTCAAGTTTCCAACCGGTCATGTCAACTATGGATCGCCCCGTCATTCTGGATATTTCAATTCACTTAACCTTTAACCTGACTGCTGCAACATCTAATAGCAACGCCAAAGATGCATTCTCGCATAGGCATTACATGTAGGGACAAGACGGAGACGAGTGATTCTAGACCATGTTCAACCAGCCCTGTGAGAGGCTCTTCCATCTGAAAATGGGCAGACGGCTGAAATGGTGGAAGCCAATGAGATCGTGCAGGGCGGCTCTAGGTGTGACCGATCAACCATACTCCACTGCATGTCACATTGGCTCCCCTGTACGGCGTCTAAGGCGACATTTGGGTACGATGGATATCCCCTGTCGAGTGTCAACCGCCACCCGGTTAAAGAGACCCAATGACTTTATAGGCAACAGCTTGATCGCCTTATTAGGTATCGGCGGTGAACACCCAGTTCCCCGATCCATCTAGAACCTACCTGACTCGGGCTTCTATACCATTACAACTGCGCATTATGGGTTTCAGATATCCATGAAAATGTCTCTGGGCAATGACCCCCACATGGCGCTCTGCCATTCCGACAAACTTTCTTATTTTTATTTATATTTTTCCCCTCCAGGGTTTCATTTTCCTATATTGGCATGATTCCAGTGGTTAAATATGTCTCGAGACACCTCTTGACTTGCTTTCTGGGATATGCTGTGAGTGGTGTCTCAGTGCCACATTGATAATGGCGACATCTTTTGGGATGTTTCCTTAGAATCCAAAAATCAACTTTGATCGACAGAAGCAAATAATTTCTGGCACGCACAGAGGTAAGAACCTTATTTTCTCAGGTATGCGTCTCTTACATATTGACTTTATAGTTAAGCCTTGGTACTTGTCCTGTTTGCTTTCCTCTGTAGAGAAGAGAGACATATATATATTTATTTTTCAAGTCCCCGATGTACCCATGTCGCTTGCATTACACGATGATTAACCTGCAATTTTTCTCCTGGAAAGACCAGTCTACTATGTTCAGTGCATCTTCCTCTGATGCAAAAAGCTACAGCCATGGGGTATGATCTGTCCATATGAGCACTGAAGCAAATATCCTACTTTCTGTGCATTTTCACGTGTTTATGCTCCTAATAACGTGCAGGACACTCCGATGGCCCCGCCACCCGCACATGACATAGATCATCTCTTAGGTAGCAGAAAAATGGCCATACCAAGACTGGCAGAAGGAGCTGAGTCTGCTTTTACCTCGCCCGGGAGGTTCCATCGTCGCCATGTTAGTCGAGCATGCGAATCTTGCAGGCAGAGGAAGACAAAATGCACGGGTGATAAGTCAGGTTGCCGGAATTGTAAGGAGGCAGGAATTATATGTTGTTATACTGACGGAAAGCGAGAGAAATCTAAAAGGTTAGTGGCATTGTTTGATTTCATCTTCTACGTCCTTGGTGCCTTGAACATGCCAACATTCATAAACATCTTTCAAAGACAGATGGCTAGCTTGGAAGGGAAGATACAGGCCTATGAAGATGTCCTTAGAAAACTGAGCAGTCGATTCGGTATCTCTGATGAGCAGCTGATGAGTTTTGCACTGGCAGTGGGTGTGAATAACCCTTCCTCATCCTCTATATACTAAGTGAAAGCAGGAATCAGCTGCTGAATCGACCGCACAGCCTGATCCATACGCCGCTACGCCGGAGGATAGGAAGTTCTTTTGGGCCTTGGGATCAGAGCCCTATCTTTCAGCTACTTCGCTTGTGTCGCATGTTGCCGCCCACACCGATGAAGATTTTAATCGGGATCACTTCACACGGGCTACGGGTTTCATTGGTAAAAGCTCCGAGATCTCTTGGCTGCAGATGTTAAGCAAATATGTGGACTCTGGGTGCGAGGTATGTCATCCAGTTTCTGGTATATCTTCACCGGCTTTGACATCCTACTGTGATGGGCCGATAGCTTCGTCAAATTATCACCTTGACGACTTCGACATGCCTACCATTGAGCGACTCGACACATTCGAGCTCCCGTCTAAGGACACTGCTACAAAACTTTTCAATGCGTACTTGAGTTCTGTACATCCTTCATTTCCCATAATCGGAATTTCGACATTTGCATCACAATTTCAAGCTTTCTTCAATAATCCGTCCCTGAAACCAGGAAACAAGTGGCTTGCCATATTGAACCTCATCTTTGCTATTGGTGCAAGATATGCCCATTTGACCAATGCAGAATGGAGAAGGGATAGGGATGATCACTATTCATACTTCATAAGAGCGAGAAACATGAGTCTTGAGGGCCAACTGCTGCACCATTCTGATCTACAACAGTTACAAGTTGAAGGGTTGGCGTCATTCTATATGTTATCATCCGGCCATATGAATCGGTAAGCTTGCGTTGGGTATCTGCGTTTCGATTGTAAAGCTCGCCACGCTTACGGATAGATCCAGGTCATGGAAGCTCTGTGGTAGTGCTGTGCGAAGTGCACTGAGCCTTGGGTTGCATTTACGCAATATAGGGACATGCACTTCCGACACATCTAAAGAAATAAGATACCGTGTGTGGTGGGCTTTATACACACTCGAGCATCGTCTCAGCGTGATGACAGGCCGACCCTCCTGCATCATAGATGGCGCCTGCACGACCCCTCTCCCTGTCCCTTTCGATGAGAGCGACTTTCGCAAAGAATCGGTAATGCACCTCATAAGTCGTTCCACACTAGAGGGCCTTAGCCAACCCGGTCTGGCCTTGAGTTCTTCGCCTAATCCAGACCCCAAGGACACAGGTAAAGGGATAGAGAGCGCAGATGCAAACGCCGCTGCACCGTGCAAGTCATTATACTTCTTGCAGTTGGTAAAATTGACTTCAATTGCGAAAAGGATGACAAACAAACTCTACAGCCCTGATGGGGTGGAAAAGCCTTGGTCAAGTATGGAATTTGCGATACGAGGACTCATGCTTGATCTTGATTCCTGGCTTATAAATCTGCCCGCTGCTTACGATTTTACCTCTACACACACTTCGCAAGGCTCGGCAACCCACAGAATGAGCCTAGCTCTCACATTTTACAGTACGAAGATTGGGGTCACAAAGCCGTGCCTTCGCCGTATAGAGTCAAGTGCACTTGGTGATAAATCGGAAGAATTCTGCAGGAAGGCTGCAGTTGAATGTGTAGAATCAGCTTGCCATTTGTTGAGACTATTTCCTGAGCCTCTGGAAGCGGCATTACTTCACAAATTGTCTCCATGGTGGTGCATATTACATTTCCTTATGCAAGCAACTGCCATCTTGTTGATTGAGCTTTCTTTCCATGTCCAACACGTTCCTGAAAAAGCGGCCATGGTGTCAAAGGCAGTTAAGAAGTCCTACGATTGGCTGTCAGTTATGTCTGAGACTAGTATGGCCTCAGAAAAAGCTCGGAGAATGTGTGATGAGTTCCTGCGCCGACTTGGCTTCAATGGCGGTACTGAGATCCACAGCTTCCCTTGTATAGCGGGCCTTACCTCACAGAACTCGCCCGGTGACGAACTTCACGATCCACGTCACAGATCCACAAGAGTAGCCACCCCCAATGGTATCCCAGGCAGAGAAGGTTCTATGCCATTGTCACCGGTAGACCATTCCAGTGCCGCATTTGCCCGGCCATCGTCAGTTGACCTGGAAGTCCCGGAGACACATGAATTTGAGCAAGATGGGAAAATTTTCGCTGTCCACAATCTTTATGACAGCTATTTACCCTACGACCCTAACACGGGTCAGATAACCGGTTCATTTTTCCCTTCCGAAGATGATATTGATATCAGACTGGGGCCATATAATTGGGATGAAACGATGGGATGACAGCTATTACAAACAGCCGGCATCAGCATCTCCAGTGATTCGAAATGGTCCCAGATAGCACAATGCACCATATATCTTTCAAGTAATATGGAGCTTTCAACCTTTACACCTGTTGAATCAAGGTCATGCTCATGGAACACCAATCTTCAAAGAACTTCTGCAACACACGTTGTCTTTCGCTAGCCCCATATCCTTGATTACAAGCTACTGTTGATTTAACTATTTAATGTCTAATGGCCCTCTCCCAGTACTCGACTAATGGATGGCGGCGGTGCCTGTTCGTCGCCTGTCCGTCTTCATACATGACAGACACGAGGAGAATAAGTCTACACGAATTACGCAACGGAAACAATGAAGATATAGTCATGCTACTAGGAGAGCCTTTCACACCTGCGAGCGAGATCAACAAAACATGATTCACCACCTCGACACGTATTTAACAGTGAAATGAGGTCTTGTTGATGAGGAGTCACTCCTTTCCAGAATAAATTCACCGTGACGCTCTCAACACTCGCTTCCAAGCGGAAGCCAACACAGCTGATTGAGACACACAATGTTTATCTAGACGCGATCCTTCATGGCTATGTAATGTACCAGTGTTTTGCTTGGTTTCGCTGGACTACAAACCCACTACTATTCAATCCTGAGATCATGAGGTCAATACCCTCAAATTTGTCCAGAAATTCCTGCTGGTACTGTACAATCATACAGCTTTTTACTCCTCAAGTGCATTTAGCACCTACAAAAGACCAAGAAAGTAAAAAAAAGAAAAGGAAGAGAAGAGGAGAAGGGGGGTGGGAAGAGAAAGAAAAGACTGAAGAGATCAGAACACGTATAGCCTACTACATGAGCAAATCTCTTGACCGGCCGACTAGATCATGGCCTCCTTCCCGATATGAGCAAGATGCCAAATCGCTCTGTGATGTTCAATGTGCTGGCCATTCACCCCCGGTTCCTTAAAAGCCATGTTTTACTTGTTGTATGGTTAAGAGTATTGTTGCCGCAAGGCACTATCTGTAATAAACTGGGAGAAAAGCATGTTCCTCTTTGTCGTGCTAATTTTTAAATTGAATGCCCACAGTTCCTTCGAACACTGACAGTGTTAAGTCTGTTCGTCGCTAAAACGACATAAATATATACTTTAAGCCTTAACCCCCAATAGTAATGCCCTAAGGAGATACAAGATTGCCTGTACACAATCGACGTAGTCTATACCTGTATTTACCAACGATAGTGTCTTCGTAACAATAGATCCGTTCAAGCAGACGTAATGGCGACATAAGAATGAATTTCAGGGCCGCAGACAGGGGGCCTACTGTTCAGATCAAGCTTCCCAGTTCCTTTTCTTTGCTGTAAAAAGCAAGCGAGCATTCTCTTCTTGAGAAGAGGGTCGTGATAAGCCCGCGGACATGATGGGCACAGAACTGATCCTGGACAGATGGATATCGATGACACGGGCTCTTCGAAGTGACCGATTTGCCCACGAGCCGGACGAAGATGACCAATTCTTGTTATCCCAGTCTTGTAACTCAATACCTAGTAAGCCTCTACCGTCGCCCACAAACCGCTCTATGCAATCCAAAGGAGGAAGAAATCGGCGTCGCACGCCGCAACCATTGTGATTCGTGTCGATTTGATAATCAGGACACTGTTTGAGAGAGGCGATGATTGAAATTACGTCGCTTGGTGACCCAGCGGGTTGGGAACGTTCTGCTGTATCCTCATCTTCAGAGTCTAAGCCAAAATCCGGATCTATTAGGGTAGATCCTAAGAATATGGTCTTCGTGCGCAGAGTGAAAAAGCGGGTCGTTTGGCCCAGATGGAAGGTGTCACAGGCACTAGAATTACCAAATCCACACCGACATTGATACTGTCGAGATTGGACCGCAGTTACTGCGCCCGATGCGCTGGTCGATTTAGGGCGTTCTGGTTCCTCCAATGCGCCAAAAGCGCGGAGAAAGTACGCTTGAAGATCTGTAATGGTATTCAAAACGCATTGTCGTCTATAGTATAATTCTTCTATAGACCTGTTAGCGGCTAAACACCGTATGTTGAGATAATGATAAAAGAGAGCCAGTTTTACCTTCTAGACCATCAGAAAGATACCGCCAGCGGACGGTAGCTGAAGTAGGTGGTTCCACACCATTTACCCAAAACTTTGACCCAGTAAGGATCAGCGCATGCGTCCATATTTGGAAAATGGTATACTCATTAAGAAACCTCGCTATGAAGATCGTTTGCCGAATTCGGTCCTCGCTCAATCTCAGTACCGAGGCATCAAATCTCAACAAGGGAGCTCTTCCTTTCCCAAAAGCATACCTGGACCTTTTCAGAGCTTCCCGGATGACATGAGGAGAGTTGAAGGCATCAGCTAGCTCTACCAACCGAGCAACTAATAAGGTAGGCTGAATTCTGAGCTCCCCGTCGAACTTAGCTTTCTCCTCTTCATCAAATGAGTTGAACGATAGCACTCGGAGGAACAGTTCAATAGCGTCTACCCCAAGCTTTTGTGGGAGATGATCCACCGGCAACCTAACTGTTGGCAAGTTATACCGGGTTGAATTATCATCAGATAAAGAATCTCCACCCTTAGCAATGGTACCCTGGCTCCACTTGGCCTTCTGTTGGATGAAATCCCTGCCCTCAGAGAATTTATTAGGGTCAAGCAAGGCCCGAAAGTAGGGACTGTTCCTCATAAGATCATCACTTAAGACCTGCCAACGGTGACTAGCGTTTTCAGGAGAATCAGGAGGAGAGTTGTCTGGGGAAACGCATTCGATAATCACATCCCCGGTGCTGGATAGAACCTTTACAGCTGGCTGAGCTCCAATTAGAGGCGAATTTCTCCCCATATGGTTTTTAGTAGTAGTGGAAGCCTCCCCTATCAAATGAGAGCAGGGGGGATCGTCCTGAGTATCGTGAAACCCCAGTGTTTGAAGCGAAGCTCCTATTTCAACTGGTAATGAAGAATGACTTGGCTCCATGACGTATAAGTTCAGGAGATGAAAGTCTGTATATAGGCCCTTTTCACACTACTCGCGTCACAATCCTGAAAGTACATTGGAACTGTAGAATTGCCTGTACTGCTGATTCTCATCAATATGGTTGAAATGGTTGTTGCTTGCGTTGTTATTTGGATATCCCTCTACACAATTATGAGAGCGTCGTATATTCCCCCGCAAGAAGAGACTATAGGCATACGACCATATGCATTCTAGTATGCGTAAAAGGGTTGGGACTCGATTATGGCGCAGAGTTAGTTTAGTTGGTGGGGAAATCCAAATAGGTCATTGACGAACGTTGCCGGGAATAGCGTCATGTGATGCTGCACCTTCCGAAAGTGGCATTGTGTATTAAACCCGAGATGTACAGTTTCTATGCTTCCACAGGACGATTGTCCTGTAAACAAAATAATTTTCTGTACTGAGAATTGTATTATACAGTATGTCTGTTTTCACATTAAATTAAACAGTTGTATAACTTCAATAAGGTGTGCCTCGTCATCCCATCCATTCAGGGGTGTCCAACTCCATAGTCACGAACAAAAAAGGGAAAGAAAATTCTATTGATGACACGAAGGAATGCGCTATCGAATCACCCGGCAAGAAACGCAACCCAAAGGGAATGTTAAAAAAAGAAAAAAACAAAAAAAGAAAGCAAGGGAGAGAATGGAAGAATAAAACGCCGAATATTAGCAACCTCTCCTAAGGCAAAGATACAACAGGGATGTGCAGGATCTCATAGTCATTCCGGTTACTTGTGCTGGTAGTCCCGTTTTGCTTGTCCTTGACGGACGCTTCTCGAAGCTTCAGTGCATGCGCTATACTGTAGAAAAGCTTCATGGACAGTAGATTCGTGGTGTCTGCCTGGGATGCCTTCATCGCAGACCAGCTCATCTCACCCATTCCATTTTCCTCTTCATGATCTTCCAGATCAGCGTTCCCTATAAGGTTGAGCCGTGGGGGAACATGCGAGAATAGCGCCAGACACGGCTGAGGCTCCTCCTCATCTGAAGCATAGGGACTAGGTTGTTGTTGGTCTTCTTCGTGCACCAGAGACTCGGTGTCGAATATATCGTTTCTCTGAGAAACAAGATGCCATAGCTCACCGCATATAAATCCAATCACAAAATCTTGATTCGCGCGTGCTGCTGCCAAGCAGCTCTTTCTGTAATCGGACTTGAAAGAGGAATCGGTAGTGGACGGCAGACAAAGGACAAGGCCACGTGCCAGGAGAGGTGGAGGAGGGACATCCTCGCTTATAACAAATAGACTTGAGGCTGCGCTTTGAAAGCTTTCCTTCCGTTCATAAGCTCCAGAGTCCGTAGGCGATTCTATTACATCCTCCGTATGTTGTGTGATTGTCTGGGTAAGAGATATAGTCGACGCTTTTCGGGGCGGAAGTGCTAGACCGCTGGTGTCGCCAACCGCATATTCAGAAAGATGTGAAGTAGCATCGTTATCCCCGAAAGGTATTGATTCATGGCCAGTGGATGGACGTTCACTTGGATTATTGGCTGTAATTTCTGTCTTGATGGTCTGCACGGCGTCTGCCACAGCCTCTCGAGCGGCAGCTTTTAGGGTCGGGATCAAGATATCAGCCTCCTGGTTACCCACTGCCACTCCTGAGGCCCATGCGGTTCCCAAAACAGCCCACGAAGCTTCCTTTATGACACCTTTCGTGTATTTCTTCCGGATCAAGTCCACTAGCTGATTCTTCACTTCTCTTGACTCGGTTTTCTGTCTGCCAACAATATCGACGGTAGCATTGAGAATGCGGCCAGACTCCCACAACAAAAATCCATGTTTCTTGGCTAAGGAGGTCAATTGGCGAGCTGTCTCGTCGGACCAGTCGTCGATAATATCTGCGTGGATCTGGAGAATGGAAATGTGTGGGCCAACGGACGATGCTAGTTGAAGCAGAGCATCTGTGGTAGTGATGGTGTGGGAGGGAGACACGCAAACAGGAAGACCAAACGGCAATCCCTTCTTAGCCGTCGTTAGGGTCTGAAGGTAGGAGATTAAACGATTTCCCAGGAAAGAAGGGGATTCGAATGTTGAGCCTTCCATTGTTTATGGAGGATCCGGGATAACCGCGGGGGAGTTGTATGTCGTTCAAGAAACGGGGAGAACAATGGGGAATTGCCTTCTTCTTTTAACCTGAGAGCTTGGGGCAAAGTGAACCAGAGAAGTTGGCCCTCTTGATGAAACTAAACCTGTACTAACGTCGTTGGCGTCTAAGCAAATAAAATGGTCCAGTCGGTCGAGACAAAATGATTGACGGAAGGCTCTTGTGAACTCCACTTTTTCTGACAGTTAGTCCGTTCAGGTAAATCGACAGGGGGGCAAAAGACCCAGTGTTGTGGTTATTTTATCTCCTAGGCAAACTCAATCGAGTCAGCTAATTGTCCCTCGAGGACGTTGTTGGTAGATTCGTTGGGGTGTTGATCTTTTATACTCCGACAAGGTAACATCTGTCACATAAAAATAAAAATAAAAAAGAGGAAGAAAGAGAGAGAGGAACGAAGACAAAGGGAGAGAGAGGGATAGAAGAGAGGGGGCAAAGGAGAATGATTCCGAACTGAAAATAGGAACTTGGACATGGTGTATCTCATGTGCCCCCTCCTCTTTTCTTTTTACTTTTTTTTGTCCTTTTTTCATTGTTGACTTACTTTTTTGGATGAGTCGAGTGTGTTCTGTGTATGTATGTGCGTGTGTGTACCTTTTTGCTCTCATGCATTCATCTCAAGGTCACGCTCACTGATTGACTGATGAAGATCGTCTGTTGGTGGACCGTTTCGAGGATCTCCGATGGTTCTCCAACCAGGTTATTGTAATCGCAATACCATCGGTTTGTGGCCTCCCCATATTAAGGGGTAAAGAATGGTTAAGATTGGTACAACTTTCCTCTAAGTCATACTAAGCCGTACCATCATTTACACTAAGACCGAAACAGGAGAACGGGCTGAGAGACCGCTTCTGCACTAATCTCAATTTTGTCCGAAAATTCCCTTGACCGCCTACTATATGCACTCTAGTTGGGGACTTGTTCTTCGGGAGGAGTGCTCCGCAGTCGGCCTCTTAACCCTAAAGTCCCCATATCGCTAGACCGGGTTTGGCGTATGGGAGGGTTTTAGGTCGTACCATATCCAGTACGAAAGAGAAACAAGTTAACGCCGTTTAAGTTCTTCCGAGTCCAGATGAACCACGGTACAGGCGGAGGGGAAAATTCAACACGACGAATAAGAATCGAAAGAGAAATGAGGCTGAGAAGGACAGTCTCAGTATGACCGCGAGCCTCAATCAGCTACCCTGAGGCAAAGCTGAATCCTGATTCTGATTCTGAAAAAAAGTCTATCTACTCAGCCAGCCCAGCTAGAGGTTCGGCTGAAGGTGAAAACGGTTGGATTGGATTCACCTTTGTTGACCTCGACGGAGAGCGACCGGTAGTGTCTGGCATTAGGCCTTGATTCTCGGCCAGAACGTTGGGCGTGTCCGATATATTCAATCAGGATCCGCGGATCTTCCTCTGAGTTGAAACTATGCTCTTTAGCCTTACTATACTCCGTAGTAGTAGAAGATTGCATGTCATGTCAACCCTTACCCATGATGGCTTGAATATTGGCAAATCCCCACCCCATGTATTAGCGAACGCAAGGATCTGAACTCGGACCCCGAGATGATATTGTCCATGCAGTTCTGATCGAATGTATGGTAACTAAGCAGATGCATTGGGCACGTCTATACCGGGTTAACAATTCTCCAAGAAAGGATCAGAAAAGCCTCGCAAAAGCCCCGAGGATGTTCCTTCTCGACCTCAATCGCCATCCCTTGTCTCTGTTTACTTTTGCCTGCATCTTGATAGGTCCTCGAGTCCTCATACTGTTAGGTATGGAACACTGCCGTACCGCCAAGGCACTAAACTCCACTAGCGCTCTGTATTGGCCATTGCAAATGCAAATCAGTGTATATCAAGGAACCAGACCACAGGTTAACAGCACCCCCTAGCCATCAAGTGCTGAAAATCCGTTGGACTACCCAAGCCCCTATGAGGCTCCCTATGACAAGTCGCCAAAATCCTTTCACTTGACAAGCTAGGCGCTTGGACAACTATGCAGGAAATGATCTATGCTTAATCTAGACCCAGAACTTATGCTTGCTTTTGCTGGATTCTATACTCCGGCACTACTCCTGGTTTTTGCCGCCCGTTAGACCTTCTTCTTCTTCTTTAGAATGCACCTGATCGCAACTGAGGCTGTGCTTGTGAAACAGGGTATAGACTATTACATATAATTCTAATTTATAACCCATCGGACTGGTGTCCCTTGAGAACTCGCGGCGCTCGTTCCGTAGGATTGGCCGTACTACGGCGGCGTGAGTAAGTCTAGCTACATCCACATTCAGGGGACAAAAATGTACACTGCTTCACGTACTCACTCGTCTGTTTGGCATACAACGAAGCCTTTTCTTTCTCATCTCTACTTCGTCGATATACATTGCTGTGTTCGTCTCTTTTGGGTTGATGACTAACCTTCTGGCCAGGGGTCACCTTCTCTGAAAGGTTAGCGTCAAACTTGGTCCATCCTCGGCATCAGCGTGATCACGAAGGATGAAGAGGGAAAATGACTTTGAATCTTCCTATCGCCTCCGCTTTTTGCTTACTCCATGTTCATACTTGTTTATGAATCTATGAATACTACCATTTAAACATCAATCATTTTCGTGGGTGATTGGCTACATCGCAAATTGTTTTACACGAGTTGCGCAGACGAATATTATTTCTTACTTTTTTTTTTTTTTTTTCTTTTTTTTTCTCCCTTCGGTGCCCCTTCCCTACCCGTCGGAGCCACCGGACCCGCGACCCTGGATATTATTTTGAAGCTCACGCCACTCCTTTCCGATCACCCATTCCGTTTCTCAGGTGTGGTGTGATCTGTCCAACTGCATCTCTCGAATTTCCACGCTTATATCTCATCCCTCCTCCAACGATTGGCATCCATAACTAGGCGTTTCCCGTTTGACAGCCATGCCTGGAAGGACTCTGCCAAAGTTTACCTCGGCTGAGGTCGAGTCTCACAATAATGCCAAATCTTGCTATGTGACTCTAGGATCAAAAGTGTACGACATTACCTCTTTTGTCGATGATCATCCTGGTGGCGGCGATTTGATCCTTGAGTATGCTGGAAAAGACGTCGAAGAAATTCTGCGCGATGCTGTCTCTCACGAACACTCGGAAGCAGCCTATGATATTCTGGAGGACAGTCTGATTGGTTTTATTGCCTCCGATTCGATTGGCAAAGGTGCAAACATAGATGGCGCTAAAGCAAATGGTGTCGGAGGAACATCGGGCCCAGTATATGCCGCAACTGGAATGTCTCGCGAAGAGGATCTGTCTGTTGAGACGGACTACTCCAAGGATTACCAGACGTACAAGTTCTTGGATCTCAACAAGCCTCTTCTTATGCAGCTCTGGAACGGTGGCTTCACCAAAGAGTTCTACTTGCAACAGATCCACCGTCCGCGCCATTACAAAGGAGGAGAATCGGCTCCTCTCTTTGGAAATTTCCTGGAGCCACTGAGCAAGACCGCATGGTATGTGGTTCCCATGATTTGGCTGCCACCTGTTACCTACGGTACCGTGCTCGGGTTTGCTGGGCTGCAGAATGTGTCTACTGCAGCTGCATATTGGACTGGTGGCCTTTTCCTGTGGACTTTGATCGAGTACATTATGCATAGATTCCTGTTCCATCTTGATCGGTATGGCTCCCAGCTCCTCTTCTAGTCCTGTGTTTTCCTAACCCAGGTTTGTCTAGATATCTTCCTGATAACCGGGTTGGCTTGACCCTCCATTTCCTGTTACACGGCATTCATCACTATCTTCCTATGGACAAATACCGACTTGTGATGCCACCAACGCTGTTTGTTATCCTTGCTACACCGTTTTGGAAGCTGGCGCATACTGTCTTCTTCTATAATTGGTACGCCGCCTTGACAGTATTTTGTGGCGGTGTATTCGGTTATATATGTTATGACTTGACCCATTATTTCCTCCATCATCGCAAGTAAGTCACATTCGAACGTCGGGTTTTGTAAAAGTGTTATTGACCATATTGTACTGCAGTCTTCCACTCTACTATAAGGGGCTCAAGAAGTACCACCTTCAACATCATTTTGCCGACTTCGACAATGGTTTCGGTGTCACCAGCCGATTTTGGGACCGTATTTTCGGCACTGAGCTTGAAACACCGGCACCTAAGGACGTGAAGACACAGTGAACATACTCACATAACACTTTGCATTCATCACAAATATCCTAAGTATGAAGTCATGCCGTGGATGATTGCGGGTCAGTCTTTTATTCATGTTTGTTTCTGAACCCATTGGATTTCGAAAGCTTAGTTTTTGTTCTATCCTACTCTACTTCATGTACAGTGAATTCGGTCAACTGCTATTGCAGGACCTTGATTCCTCCCATACGCATAGTATGATCATGGTCTTCGGCGAGGCCATTTTGTCAAATAGTGTTTATACGATTGTATATGATGATAACACCTAATATATAATTACATTTACCATCAGCAACATGCTTCCTGGAACATAAGATTGAGTAACCGTGCTTGTGGCGATATTTCCATGGTTCATTCAGAAAATTGTTCGGAGGCAATAAATGCCAAGATGCACCACGTGATATAGGCCGCTTTTCATTTCCACCCAACCTTGCCTGTTATCTCGTACCACTTCAATGACTCTTGACCCTCAATAACTAACCCCTTTTCTCTTGAAAGTTTGTCATATTCTACAACGATTAGATCTGTTACTTAGGAGCAGGGACGCTCTATCTGGAACTAGGCTGTGAAACAGAAGGGTTCGCTCAAGTCAAGCCTGATCTGCCGTCACCATCTAACCAAGTCAAAAGTGACCTTAATCCATCCCGCACGATCTTCCTTTTCTCCTTTCCATTCAGCTTCATCCAGGGGAGAGTTATCAACATATCGTCAATATGTCAGGTCTCGATGTCGAGGCTCTACTTGAGTCTACAGCCGCCGCAGCGCCACAAGATGCACGACAGTCTCAGGAACGCGATGACCGCTCCAAAGCCGATAGTAGTGACCGCCGGGACCGCGACCGCTCACGAGACAAGGATCGTAGACGCCGGGACCGCAGCCGGGACCGACGTCGTGACGCCGATGGAGATGAAGACATGAAGAGCCCGAGAAGCGAACATGGCAGTGCTAACGGAAGCCATAGAAGCAGAAAGAGGAGCAGGAGCCGCGAGAGTGATCGCCGTCGATCTCGACGTGAACGTGGTGACGACTACCGATCTGGTGGTGACTATTACCGCGGAGGCGGGCGGGCCCGCACTCGATCTCGATCCCCTAATGATGACCGTTATTACCGCCCTTCGGGCCGTTCCCGTCGGGATGAGAGGGAGGATGACCGACGCCCTCGCCGTGAGCGAGAGACACGCAGACGTAGCCCCAGTCGCGAAAGAACCCCAGAGCTCAACGAGGATGAGCGCGATAGACGCACCATTTTTGTACAGCAGCTTGCAGCACGTCTGAGAACAAAGGAACTGATTGCTTTCTTCGAGAAAGTTGGACCGGTTAAAGAAGCTCAGATTGTCAAGGATCGCGTTAGTGGTCGGTCTAAAGGGTGAGTGTTCGATTTCCCATTGGGTATGTCGGTGACCTAACAATTGCTTAGTGTCGGTTATGTCGAATTTAAGAACGAAGATTCCGTTGCTCCTGCTATTCAGCTTACAGGACAGAAGCTTCTAGGAATTCCAATTATCGCACAGTTAACTGAAGCGGAAAAGAATCGTCAGGCTCGCAACCCGGATGCCAGCAGTGGCAGTAATCACGCAGCTCCATTTCACAGGTTGTACGTGGGTAACATCCATTTCAGCATCACTGAAAATGACCTCCAGAATGTTTTTGAGCCGTTTGGCGAGCTCGAGTTTGTCCAGCTTCAAAAGGATGAAACCGGTAGAAGCAGAGGTTATGGTTTTGTCCAGTAAGTGTCAGCCCTTGCTTCTTTTGTAATGCTATTGTTGTTAACCGGTGTCTTCTAGGTTCCGTGATCCCAATCAAGCTCGGGAGGCACTAGAAAAGATGAACGGGTTTGACCTTGCTGGTCGAGCAATCCGCGTTGGCCTTGGCAACGATAAGTTCACCCCTGACTCGAGTGCTCAACGATTGCAGAGCCAAGGTGCAAACCAACAGAATTTCCAGGGCTCTTCGTTCTCGGGCCATGGAGGCCGTGGTATCCAGGCCGGTGGTACTAGCAACTTCGACCGTGCTGGCGGCCGGGATTCTGAAAAAGGGGCCGGTGCTAGTGCTTTAGATGATACGGATGTTGCTGGTGTAAACTTCAACAACTATAGTAGGGACGCATTGATGAGGAAACTCGCAAGAACAGATGAACCCTCAGAGTCGTCCGCCGACGATAAGCAAAAGGTGCTTCGGCCTAAAACAGAAACCAAGCCATTGCCTGTCAATGTCAACATGGCGAGTCGGTGTGTTATGCTTCGTAATATGTTTGATCCTGGCGAGTAAGTCTACCCCTATAAAACTCTTTGCAAGCCATGGACATTAACCCTTTCTACAGGGAAGAAGGTGAAAGCTGGATTAAAGAGCTAGAGGATGACGTCCGCGCTGAGTGCGAAGAAAAATATGGCCATGTTGTTCACATTGCACTAGATCCTAACTCACAAGGCGATATCTACCTGAAGTTCGACCGCGTCCAGGGTGGTGAAAACGCCATCAAAGGCCTGAATGGACGATTTTTCGGCGGCAAACAGATCACTGCGCAACCCGTTGTCGACGCTGTTTACAGCAGTTTGTTCTCTCGAACCAAGGCGATCTAGTGCTCAACTCGTCAATGCCTACGAAAGCTTACATCTTAGTAGGTATTTCCATCTAATAGCGTGATATATTAGGTGCGATTCTTTGTGGCGGAACCACCGTCTTAACTCCGAACCATTGAAACTTGCTTCGACATGGTGCTTGGCTTTGATGACACTACCCCTGGTAGGTGCCATTTTTTGACATATTGCTTTTTATGGGCCAGAAGGCTTGTTGTGCAATGATTTGTTTATAGGTATTTGTACAGTGCATTAGCGCAATGAAACCTTTGTAGTTTTCCGGTATCTAGGTCTTCTCATTCAGCGAGACTCCCCCAAGTATGCACTTTGATATGTGCCCTTAAATCAGCTAAGTGTGTGATGAAATGCTTTGGATATCGGCCGGTCTCTGTCAGTATTTATGCCATAGCAACCCTCTGTTCGCCACGAGGTCTATGTCTGACCCAAAAGACACTGCTTCTTGGTTCCCCATCACCTGCATGATGAAGTCTTTAGGCATTCGATGTCGACCTTGTTTTCACGCCCAAAGCGCGTAGTCAGGGAAGTATTTATCATGGATCCGCCGAGCATAATCCACCACCGCCGGGTATCCTCGAACAACCTTCTGCGTATCCGGCGCCCTACACCAAACGTAACAGCATCAGCAACGCATCACAGGTCATAGCAACATAGAATCAAGAGAAAGAAAGAAAGGAACATACGCATAACAAACCAACCCAGAAACAATAAACCCAAAAAGCGTCGCATCAGCCTCAGTCGGTTCCTCACCACCCGAAACCCAGAACGGACCCTGTCCTCCATGTCGCGATCTCGCCTCGACAAGCGCGCCATTGATCCGGTCCCAGATCTCCCCCCTCAAGGACCCGATCTCCTCCGTCGAGAAGAGCATCGTCCCCTGACCGGTCAGAGTACGTGTGACTTTCTTGTAGACCAGAAGACCCACCACGACCCGGACAGGCCAGGGCAATGCAGCCAGAATGACATCCCGCATGGTATAGTAGTTCAGCACCCATTTTTCGTGTGCCTGGTTCGCAGAATCAGTACACAATGTCATATCTCCCGCATGTTCAGCTCATTAAAAAGATATTTATTCATCATCGGCCGTTGGTGAATCCCATCCAGAACAAGCAATGATACATGGATAGATACGTACGTTATACCAATACAACTTATCCTCCAATAATGCCATCAGCCCCATATCCAGGAGCTTCTGCGACCCCGAGAGCTTCGCATTGAAATCCTTCGTTAAGCCCCTCTCGATAAATGTCTTCGTGATCATGGTCGAATCGCCCAGAACGACCGGCGGAGCTGGTGTGCTTCCATCTTCGTAAAGGGTCTCGGCCGGGATGGAGATGTAGGGCACTTTGCCTCGGGGTGCGTTGCGTAATGAACCTGTTTCCACGCGGTAGGGTATACCGGCGAAGCGCAGGCGGGCTTCCAGTTTGGTTACGAATGGGGACCAGCTGTAGGTTCCTGTGCCTGGGAGGCCGCGGTAGAGGGTTAGGGGTGTTGGGTCTGAGGTTGAGGGCATTTTGGTTGTTGGGGTGTGTGTGGTGTGGGTGTTGGGTTTCTTGTTTTTTTTATCCCTTCTGGAGGAGATGGGGTATTAAGGTTGTGTATACTGGGGACAAGCTGCTCGTGTTTTGTATATATATATATACTTCGTGTTGTCGGGCTTGGGTCGGGTTTTGCGGCTTGTTCAAAGCCGATATGGCTTGGGGGCTATATTCTGATTGAAGGCGTCGTGTTGCAAACCATGACGTGGCTGTCAGCACTAGTCCGGTCCTCATAGCCTCTTCCTTGCGCCTTGACCTGCTCCATTTTAGGCTGCATTAGGTTGAGACGGACACAAATCAACATGGCGATGTATTGTGAATGTGGGATATATATATGTACAGTGTAACCAGTCAAAGTTCATCAAAGTAAAAATAGTAATAAGAACAATATGTACATATCCTCAAGTTAGCATTAAGTTCGTCCTCACGGTCATCGCCGTGACCGACGCGGATCAGTCGCTTCTTGTCGGCGCCATTCTCGAGATTCCTTCGTTCCCATGCTTCCCAAACCGCCCTCAAGTCGTCGTTCCCAACCGCCTAGTCGGACGACAAGGCAGGTAGCATTGTCTCCCTCCTTGGTCACTTCGTTCGCAAAGTTGACCACATCCCGAGACCCCTGCTCGGGAGTCCTGGCCTCCTTGACGATGTCAACGACTTCTTGGTCACCGAGCGTTCCACTGATGCCATCCGACATGAGGACCAAAAATGAGTACTCCGCAGGTGCCATCTCAATCCTTCGGAGCTCTGGCTCGGCTGATACGCCAATCCGTTTCGACTGAACATCACCAAAGGCTCGCGTGTTGGCCAATCCGCTCATGCGCTCCTCTCCAAACGAGTCAGTCACGAAGGTAGTGGCATATCGTCGTAAGCGACTCGCCTCAATCGGTGACGACGGATGATGGTTGGAAGTCAGCGGGATGGCTTCGCCTGTCTCTGTAGAGCATAATAGTATCCGTGTGTCGCCGACATGAGACACCAACAGACTAGATGGGCTAGACGGATGCCAGAAAGGGGTCGGCGTTGGGGTAGATATGAGTGCGACGCTAGCCGTGCTACCTCCCTTGAATCGTCTTACTCCCCCAATATTTAGAGACGGTGTACGATCACGGCCGTAGAGGATATTGTCCTGGTATAGAGGATGACCCACATTCTCCAATTCATCGCTTTGTTTCGCCGCTTGTGCCGACACAAATTCCAGATCGGCGCAGAGGAAGGCGTATTCGAGGACCTCTTCGATGGTAACACCTTCAGGTAGATCGGACAGTGCCTTTGGCTCTCCGCGGGCACCTCTTCCAATATGTGAGAAGTGAGGAGGCACAAATCTCTTGAAGTACCCTCCGACTATGGTTCGCCAATCTCGGACGAGTTGTTTTTCTAGTTCCCCGATTCGGTGCGAGTTGCCGTCTTGCAGAATCGGCAAATCCCCAGTAGACGGATCTGTGTCCTTGGAATAATGGCCATCCCGGTTTTTCTTCAGACTGGACTGGAGCTCGAACATCGCTGCCGAATCCTGTATGTACTCATGAAGAGTGTGCTGTAGAAACGTGCTACATTCGTTCCCCCCGTGGCCGTCGAATACTGAGAAATAGAAAACCTGTGGATCGCCACTAGCAGTCTCCGCCCCTTGACTCTCGCGGGGTGCAGGGGATCCATTGGCACCCGATCGTTTGATCGTCAGGGACGCAGGGGGACGCTTCGCAAAGGCAGGGATGTCGATCACGCCAGCTTGATATGTATCTTCATTCTCCGGGCGAGTTCCGCGGGAAGTAGAGGCGCCGAAGTGGTGTTTCGCGCTGCGAAGAGGGATGCGGACGACAGTCGTCTCCCGGGCGACGAGCGGCTGGAAGGCTGGGGGGTGAGATGACTCTCCAGTATGAGGAACGGAGGCGGAGCGAGGAAGTTTGTAGAAAGGGTTGACTGGCGCCCGGGGATCTGGATGAAGAGAGGAAGATGGTAAGTGCGTAACAAAGTAGTCGTGAAATTCAGGCTTCTTGGTTGCCCGGTTGTCGTTAGTCACAGCATTCGCGGGATTCGACGTGTAGAAACGCTTTGGTAGAATCAGAGAAACTAAGAGGCATATGTGAGTTAGTCAACATTCGTCGGAGCCCACGAGTGAGCCAGATGTAGCGACACGATCGCCAGCATGGACATCTCGGAGATAAGCCCTAGAGATGTTTGTGCAAGGGTTAAGGTATACATACTGCGACGATCAGCCAGAGTCCGGACCTGGACTGTGACCCGCTTCGCCGGAGTTAGATTCATGAGAGTCGAGGCATTGACAAATTGAAGATATGGGGAAAAGGTGAGTTCACGCCGGAGAGTAGGGAGTATGTAAAAACGCTGAGAAGGACTTTATCGGGAAACTGTGGGGATTGATGATTTTGCGGCCCGAGCGCAGTTGCGACGGAGAAATGCAACGGCAATTTCCTAGATACAATCCTTCTTATCTGCCTTATCGACCGTGCTCTTAACTTCCCCCGTGGAGAAGTCTTACTCTTACTTCTCACCCTCTCTGACGCTCTGAAGGGTCGGATCAACAGCAATGGGTGGCATGTTATTATGATTTTGCCTCTGATACTTTCCAAAACGTGATCCCTGAAATGCCCTCATGGACTCCACCATAACGCCATCGCGCTGGTCAACAACCAATCCCCCCATCCTGAACTGCAACTATTGACATCATCACAACGCTGAAAGCCTAAACTGCTTTGTTCAATTCTAAGCCATTGCCATCTTCAAGCCCTGTAATACTCCGTTTTCTCCCATTTCCATGCAGCACAAGATAAGGTGAAAATAAAAAACAAAAACAAAAAAAACAAAAAATGGCAAAGTCACGGACGGCAATAGACGGGAGTTCACATCACGTTCCCAAGTGAGCCGGCACTCACTTCGCATGCATCTCACTGAGAAGCTGAGTATAGCGTCTTGGGGGAGGACGTAACAGTACCTTCGCGAGGCCTACCAGCCTGACGTCAGCAGGGCTCGTGGAATGATCATGGATCCTAATGCTTGGGGTAACGCCCAGACGAACAAGGGTGTGGTCCTTCTTCAGTCTCTGAGCGTCCCCACCCATAAATTGATCACAATTCACCATTGTACTGGGCTCGAAAATGTCGTTCACCGCAGGAAACTTGAAGCTATATTCAAAGGGTAACGAATATAGATCCACTGCGAGCGCCTGGGCCTCGGTTACAATGTCCTGAAGATCCATCCAGACCACCTGATATTGGTTCAAGGGGTCATGAGTAAGGGGACCTATGAGCGGCCACAACTTTTCCATATAAGAGTGGATGTTGTGTTGATTAAATTCGGAAAACCTCGGCTTCTTTACCACGGCCTGGATGTGGTGTGCGATCGTGAGGAGCAGCGAATGGCGGACCACCGCAGGGGTATCTATATCATATGATCAGTCTGTGCAAAGAAGAGCTAATGGCTACTCAACATACCTATGGTTAAGTGTTCCTGTAGCTGTTTGATTTCCTTGTCCATGTGAGCGTCGAACCCTTTGACGACTGTCGGCTGCAAGATATTGTGAACGAGGTAGAAGTTAATTCCTTTCGCAACCACGCAGAGCCGAGTGCATGGATTTCCTAGCAACGTTGACGCATGGATCTTATCCGAGATACTCATGACATATTCCTTAACCCGCGGGTTCAAGTGGCTGTCAAATTGAACGCTAGGAAAGTTGGTATACATGTGGCCAAACGTCAGCGTTCTTGACAAAAGACTTTGAAGTCTGGTCGAGATCACCCGAATGACTGTTTCAGTATCGAATGAAGAGCCTGGAGAACAAATACTCATCGGAAAACTACTCCTCTTGCGGCTAAGTGACGTCTTGGAGCTCTCTTCCAGACTCTTACGTTTGTCCTGTAGAGTGCTAGCAGACATGTCAAACGCAGGAGGAGGGGGAGTGAGGACACTTGGGAAGCAAGGGCTGGCTGATGAGGGAGTGCTTGAACGTGGAGACCTTACGGTAGGGCGCTGTTGAGTGGGAGTGAGAGGAAATATTGACATGGGGATAGTGGACTGCCGAATGCGACTCCTCTTGGGGTCTGCAATGGCTTTGCTCTGGTTGCTGATTGTGATCTTCTGTTTCTGGACCAAGTGTTGCAGCTCAATAATTTTGACACGCTGTCTGCTGATCGTCTCAATATCCTGTGCACTGTATTCCCGGCAGCGGTTGAGGGCCGCTTCAACTTCTTCCAGCCTCTCCTGAGTTGCTTTTATGCGGGTCTGGAGCTGTTGAATCACATCTGCATAGGTCAGTCCTTGCAGGCTACTCGAATCAGGAGTATAATAGAGTTTTTCGATGGCCATCTGAGCTGAAGTCCGCCAGATCTCAAAAGCACAGCAGCAGCTAAATGGAAATCAGATCGCGACTGAGGATATTTGGCTTGGATTAGTTCTGGAACCATGAGATAACTAATTAAGGATCTCAGGACAAGAATAAACATAGACCAAGAGAGAGAATATCTTAATATAACACAGAAGACAATGCCTATATCAATACTTGTAAGAAACATTATCGGAATAATCAAAGCAATACAAACAAGACTAGATTCTGTTGTATGGGACACGAAGTGGGGCCTCAACACAAAACCATGGAGCTATACTCTATGAATGGATTCACTGTGTCATTACAAGCAGCTCACCGGCTAAGAGTAACAAAGAGAATGGTTTTCTAAATAGGTGTTCCCTGACTCAGGCTCAGCCTAGAGCCACAAACGGGCAAGTTTTCGTTTGTTCCAGTTTCTAATGCTTTGGTGGCCTTCAGCAAACAGGCAAAATATCCGTTGGTGGACAGTACAGATTACATCTTCCACGTTGCCACTGCCAGCTCTTAGTAGAATATAGTTCATAGAATGCTTAGCTACTCTGGGGGATGACCGCATTGGGAGAACGCTACTCCTTTTCCTTTGGAACCCGAAAGCTTTGACCCACGAACCAATTCCGAGACTCCCGTTCGCAAAGCCCTCCCTTAACTAACTACTGGTTAACTAACTACGACTGCCAACGTACTTAATACCAGCGCTGAGCAAAACTGTGGACAAGCAAACTTTTTTTTTTTTTTTACCTTTTTAGTATTGAAGGGTGACTATCCTCCGTTCATAGACCCGGTCGCAATCCATCTTTAAGATAGTCTATCCATCCATCATTGCAGAGCGTAAGTACCGCACAAGTGAACTACGTCCATCGTCGGTGGCTTATCAACCTTATCGCGCCAAAAACGACACACATGGCCAATTTGGAAATCTTTCCCCGGAAATCTCCTGATCAACTAACACTTCGACCTCGATCTGATAGACTGCCAATATCTCCCACGAGCTTTCCTCCGCATTGCCGCATTCGCCTCAACCGCTAAATCTTCTGGCTCTATACCGTTCCCCGCTCGGCGTCGAGACGCGTTGTCAAACTTGCGTTGATTAGGTACGTGTTGCAGAGTTCTCCTCTCCATCACCATGCCGCCATTGTACCTCTCTTCCTACAGGGGTGCTTACAACATGCATGGCTTTGACTAACGCATGGCGCCTCTATATCGTTTACAGATTTTTGTATACTTTCAACCCACGAACACCGCGTATCGTCGGCTTCCTCCTTAATAGACACCGGTTGTCACTCCCGTTCAACCTTCGCGCCACCGTGGTTTTCTAGCTTCAGTGCTTCCGAAACCCGTGTAAGACTACTTATCGCTGGGGATCGCCCCGTTGGCAAATTCGTCACAGTGTACAGCGAATCAACAATGGCTGCCCGCACAAGAAGACAACAGGCGGCTTTGGCCGCTCAGTCGGATAGCAATGAGTCGCCGGCTGGCAATGGCACAGTGGAAAAATCACCAAAGAAGACCAGAACTTCGGGCAAGAAGGAAGTGAAGGAGAATGTATATTTGTTTGCCCCTAACCTTATTGGTAAGGAGCTTCTTCCCGTCTCGTCAATCTTCCACGATGTTCCGAACGGACGCTTACCGGTGGCGTGGGATTAGGATATCTACGGGTGGTTTTGACAATGGCTTCGTTGTACTACATGCCGCTGCATCCGCGAACGTGCTCCCTTCTTTATAGCGTGTCTTGCTTGCTGGATGCTTTAGACGGATATGCAGCCCGCTACTTCAACCAGTCCACCACCTTCGGCGCGGTTCTGGATATGGTGACGGACCGCTGCACAACTGCGTGTTTACTGGTGTTTCTGAGTCGGCGTGGCCTCGCTGGTCTATTGTCTTTCAGAGTCTGATTGCCTTGGATATGGCCAGCCATTACATGCACATGTATGCTACCCTCAGCATGGGCGGGTCTGGCCAAAGTCACAAGAAGATCGATTCTAGCAGGAGCTGGATCTTGTATCAATACTACAACAGCAGAGTGAGCTATACCGAGCCATATGGGTAGTCACATAAAACTGATCATGTCTACAGACTGTTCTCTTCATCTGCTGTGCTCTGAACGAGCTTTTCTTCATTGGCCTATACCTTCTTTCGTTCTCGTCTCCTATTTTGTCTCCATCCCTTCTCCAACCCGTTTCAGGCTCTGGTTCCGACGCTGCACATCCGGTCTCGACTCACTCGTTCGCCAGCCCATGGAGCGCTGGCGCACTCGAGATGGCCAGGGCCAACAAGATTGACAGCACCTGGCCTTGGATTATCACCGGAATCTCGGCACCCGTGATGGCTCTAAAGCAGATCATCAACGTGGTACAGCTTGTCAAGGCTAGCAACTGGCTGGTTGAAGGTGACATTGCCAACCGCAAGGCACAGCGAGCTAAGAAAAACTAGGCCTCCAGCGCAGTTGTCGGGTGCCTGGCAGCCAGTGAAATCACGGCTCTTTCTCACATAATCTTGGAGATGTTGCTACCGCCAGGGCCTGATTCACATCACTACACTTCTTGCATGGCTTTGGTGCCTGGTTATTTTTTGGGGCTAAGGAAAGCTGCCCCGGTTCTCTGTCTCTTCTTCTCCTTTATCACCTGATTCCCTTTCTATGATGCCTTTTGCGGAAGATATGTTTCAGTTGGGAGGAATTTATGGATTTATAGGTCTGTGCAGACCATTGCGGGCCCGACCCTTTTCGAATGACTTATAATTGCTTCGACTGTTGTCTTTATTACGGAATAGCTATTTGCACCCCCATTTTTTCTTTCGCTTTTCATCTTTCATTTCTTTCTGCCTCTTTATAAACTTCATTGTCTCTGTTTTCATTTCTCTCAGATTGTCTCTGACATGTTTTAAAGATTTTAATCTGGTACTGTGTATTAGTGGACATACAATTGCTTTCTATAAATGGTAACAGTGATCAGGAAATAATAATAATTAAAAACAAAGACACAGCCCTTAGTAATTAGCTTGTTCCTACTAGTGTTGCAGTTGCATGAGACGGCGGTTAATCACGGGGACGTCCGACTGCGGCTCCGGTGTCGGCGCGCGGGGTGACTCGAGATCCACCCCTCATGGCCATATAACTCTCGGTGCTTTCTATCGTTGAGCTTGGTTCCCCGTCAGTGTTATAGTTCATTGTACTCAGGCAGCTGCTTCATCATGTCTTCTTTCAATATCGTTGTCTTTGGCGGAGACCACTGCGGTCCAGAGGTGAGCCACTGAATATCATGTACACTTCTCAGTGTCCGTTTACTTACCATCATTTATAGGTCACTGCAGAGGCCATTAAGGTAAGCATTTCGACTATACAATTAGACCTCTCGGGGACTTGAACAAAAATGGCCCAGCATATACTAACACTGGAATTTGTCAATGTTTAGGTCCTCCGTACTGTTGAGAAGAACCGTGATGTCACTTTCAACCTTCAGGACCACTTGCTGGGTGGAGTATGTTCGCACTTTTGGTCCTCTAGGATACCCTCTGGTATTAGCATATGGCTTACTGAATATCATAGGCATCAATTGATGCCACAGGATCTCCCTTGACCGACGAAGCCTTGAACGCAGCTAAGAACGCTGATGCCGTTCTCTTGGGTGCCATCGGTGGACCGGTATGGCACACTTCAAACAATACATATACGGCCCAAACAAGATAACCTAATGTGAGATTAGAAATGGGGTACTGGCGCCGTCCGCCCCGAACAGGGTATCCTGAAGCTCCGTAAAGAAATGGGCACCTTCGGCAACCTGCGCCCCTGCAACTTCGCCGCACCCTCCCTCGTCGAGAGTTCTCCCCTCCGCGCCGACGTCTGCCGTGGCGTTAACTTCAACATCATCCGTGAACTGACTGGCGGTATCTACTTCGGTGAGCGCAAGGAAGACGACGGCAGCGGATACGCAATGGACACGGAGCCGTACTCGCGCGCTGAGATCGAGCGCATCATCCGCCTGGCCGCTCACCTTGCCCTGCAGCACGACCCCCCTCTTCCTGTGTGGAGTTTGGACAAGGCCAACGTCCTGGCTACTAGCCGTTTGTGGCGTAAGGTTGTCACTGAGGTTATGGCCAAGGAGTTCCCCCAGTTGAAGATCGAGCACCAACTGATCGACTCCGCCGCTATGATCATGGTCAAGAACCCCCGCCAGCTGAACGGTATCGTTGTTACCAGCAACCTGTTCGGTGACATCATCAGTGATGAGGCTAGCGTTATTCCTGGATCTCTGGGTTTGCTTCCCAGTGCTAGCTTGAGCGGCATCCCTGATGGAAAGAGCAAGGTTAACGGTATCTATGAGCCTATTCACGGTATGTCTTAGGCCCCCGCATTGCTTTCATACCTTGGGGGTATACTGACGTGGAGAAAGGTTCTGCCCCTGACATTGCTGGAAAGGGCATTGTCAACCCTGTCGCCGCTATTCTCTCCGTCGCTATGATGATGCAGTACTCTTTCGGTCTGTTTGCCGAAGCCCGCGCCATTGAGCAGGCTGTCAGCAACGTTATCGAGTCCGGTGTCCGCACTGGCGACATCGGCGGTAAGGCCACCACCGCCGAGGTTGGTGATGCTGTTGCTGCCGAATTGGAGAAGCTTTTGAAGTAAACGAGGCCAAGTAATAGGAGATGGAGGAATGAATGGGGAAAAGTACAACTTTAGGCTACATGCCCAATGAGATATGACCTTCTGGATAAGTTATATAGATGACAAATATTTGAATTAATTCGCTTTTGATTCCCAGACCCTCGATGCTCCATAAAAATGATTCGTATAACGTATAATGCTGAGTTTATTAATGTCCTCCAATGCACCATGGAACCGATACAACGATAGATGGGTATCTAAACAACCGGAACTCCGAATCCTAATCTAGCCTTGATGCTCCTCATGCCCATGATTCATACCTATATATGAGGCCACCACCCACAAAACACCAGGGCCTGCAAAAGTCCACCGCAGCAATGCGCTTCTCATCCTCTACCGAATGACAGGCTCCCCCATCCAGTCTGGCTCTTCTAAAGCAGCAACCTTGTCCGGGTCCGCATCCCCATGAATACTACCACGCCCATCCATCCCATCGTCCGCCGCGCCACGAAGCGACTTCCGCATACTATGCCGCCGAATCCGTCCATCAGCAGAAGCAGACGGCGCATTGCCAATCCGCCGACGCTCGTCATCCCGCGCGAAGACCTGGAACCCGCGCACATGGGTATCTTTCCCATTCTGATGATTCTCCATCACGCGCATCTGGATCACCATCGCCTTCAGCACACTTCCCGCGTACGGATCATCCTCGTCGTCTTCGACGGCCGTCTCCTCATCGTCGTCTTCATACGCAGCCAGGTTGAACTCCGCCGGGTTCTCCGTATCCGAAAACATGTAGTCCGGCCACGCAGAGGACTTCCCCGTCCCGCCTTTCCGCGCCCGATTCCGCCGCTTCTTCCGCACCCAGCCGCCGTCCCGTCCGCCCACGCCTTCTAACGGTACGTCAACCCACCCGCACGGCGTCTCGTCTTCCCATGTCGCAAACTCGACGAGATCGTTCCCGCCCATACCGGCTAGAAACGTCATCTTCGTGGGTGTGTAACTCTCATCCAGGTCAAAGTCGAGGTACACGCGGATTTTAACCACGGCGACGAGCTTGAAGAAGTGCAGGGTGAGGGTGTGTGGCTGGGGGCCGTCGGATTGCCAGTACTGTGTCGGCGATGGGTGTCGCAGGGCTGAAACGCCGCAGCCGGGTTTGTGGGTCGAGACAGTCCATGAGGCGAGAGAGGAGATTTCGCGGAGGTTGCTCGGGAGCGGGGATGGTGATCTTGCTGTGTGGGAGGTGTTAGCTATTCGTTATTTTTTATTGTGTATGGCTGTAGTGCGTTGCTCTGCTGTAGATTTGGGATGGGGATTCCGGTAGTGGGGGGTTTGAGTCGTATGGGCTTTACCTCGATCGTGCATGACCTCGTCGTCGTCCTCGTCTATTACCTCGAGGTCATCCTCGACCATCCCGTCCATGTCTTCTTCGGAGAGCTGGGCTTCGTGGTCTGCGTTCTCTTGCGAGTTGAAGTCGTCGTGCTCATCTTCGTCTTCGAATTGACTGTCGTCTTCTTCCCCGTCGTCTTCCATCATCTGCGGGCGTGGACGTCCTGCGACTCCTCGGCCAAATAGGGAGAAGAGAGCCGCCTGCGCGGCGGCGGCTGGATGGGCTGGTTCGACCGGCTGGATGGGTCCTGATGAAGGATGGAGCTGGGGAATGCCTTGCGACGGTGGTGTCTGGAATTGAGATTGTGCCGCTGCATGTTGGCCCAGTCGTGATCTACTTGGGCGTGGTTGAGTGGACTCGGAGGGGGATTCTTCTGGAGCTGTGGGGTGCCGGCGGAGGAGATGGTGATGGCGAGGCATTGTGCGGTGGGATACTTTGGGTTGTATGGAGGTAGTTGGTGAAATTTATGTTCGGGGACTCATTGCTTTGTTTAATCGAGGAATGTAGCTGCATTTCGTGTAATGGAATCTTTGATAAGCTTCATCTTTCGCGTCGCTGCTCCGCGCTATCACGTGCCATCTTCTGTTCATAGTATAAAGGACGCAAGTTAAAAAAAAGAAGTACATGGCCCATGCATGGTCTCTAATCTCAATGCTTTTTTCGTAAGGTGCGCTTCCTGTTGAAATCGCGCTGTCTATGCTATATAGCTAAATGTTTGAAGAGTGGTATGATACAGAAACAACCAAAAAATACAGAAAGAAAGTCGCCCCATTAATAAGATGTATAACTCCTGGTCAGACCGGGCAATGATACCTCAAGTGGTGTATAGCCCAGTATTTCACTTTTCGGTGTCCACATACCCTAGCTTCTCACCGACCTTGATGCGTTGGCCCATCTCGATGGTCCAGTTCCACCCGCCCTCGCGTTTTCCTTCTTGATATCCCGCGTCGAACGACTTACGGGTGCCCATTGGTGCCTCAAAGACCAGGACAATCGTACTGCCTAGCTGAAATCCTCCCATCTCCTCTCCCCTCTGGAGCGGATGGCCTTTGAGAGTCCTGCTGGCGTGAAGGTAGGTTGCCTCAACGAAACCGGGATACTGCTCGCCTCGCTTGGCAGCAAGAGCTGCCGCCATATCTGCGGCGGTGTCTGTGGTGAGGCTGTTTGTGCGCAGCTCGGAGTCGAAGTTCACCTTGATAGAGCCCACATTGGTAGCACCAACGGGGGTATAACTGAAGAAACCCCAGCGCCAACGTCCCAGAAGGACAACCCGCTCGTTGAGAGTGAAGAGTCCGGGAAGGTGACGCTGCAGGTATGGCGAGACAGAATACAGTTCACCCGCGAAGTGTCGGCGGCTCTCGACCACCCAGGGCACGGGGGAATGGAAACGGTGGTAATCGCCAGGTGCGAGGTAGATCACGACGTAGTAAAGTGCGTTATTCGACTTGGGTTTCGGCGCATACCATGGAGCACCGTCACCGCGAGCCAGATCAGCCTTGACTTCTGCTTCTGCAGCAGCCTTTGATCCTGTTGAAGCGTCCAATGACGCTGAGCGGTGCCTTGCACCACCCTGGTCACCGGCGAAGAGAGTTGGTAGCGTGTAGGGAATGCCATTCATTCTGGCAAATTCCTCATCGGCTGCCATGTCAGCTGCATCTTTCTGCGAAGGTTCTGTCGAGTGATCCGTGAACTTCTTGGAGTGATCAGCATGTGAAGGTGTAGCTGCCCCCAAGAGTGCATCCAAGCTGTATGTAACCCCCTTGACCTGTTCTACCTCGCCACGTTCGATCAGACCGAATTGAAGGATACGGCCATCCGAAGGCGAGATAACCGCATGGGTGTCGGGATCTAAGGGCCGGGCACCAGGCTTCAGTCTGCGATAGAAGAAGGCTGCCAGGTTCGGGTAGGTGCGGAGATCCTGCTGTTCTACTTCATCCAAGTTGACACCAAAAACCCATGAATAGAGTTTAAATCCAGGCGCGCGAAGGAAAACTGGAAGCTCAAGCTCATTAAAGCGGCCCCATAGTCGGGAGATTGCTTTTAGTGGCAGGGTCGACATGATCTGAACCTGCCATGGCCCGCTTGGCTTGATCCTATGCCGTGGAGGGGGGTTTATAATCTCATCTTCCGCTTCTCTTTCTCGGCGTTCCTGCTCGGCTCTTTGCGACTTGTAAAAATGGAGGATACCCAGGAGACCAATGCCGAGTCCTACTGGGATCGGATACCATTCCACCTTAGTGTTTCGGAGCGCAAATCGTAGTCGGGATCCGAAGCCCTTCGGCGCTGGGCTCTCTTGGTTGTTTTGGTTTTGATATTGTTTCCATGATTTCGAAAATTGTCTAGCACCGGCTTTACGTCCAGCAGACGTCCTCAGGGCCACCATCTTCACCAATCCAGCATTCTCCCCGAGACGGGAGTCTCCAAAGTTCCGGCGAAGCACAGAACGGCTGGTAAGATACAATGTCATAATGCTGATTACTCCATAATTAACGCCCCTGGTGGGGAGTAGTAGCCGCTAGCACGAAAACACTGAAGTTCTTAGACGTCAGTGAGCAACAGAAGGAGGCCGAGGTCTTTCCCCCCTCAAATCTCGTGCTTTTGCATCATGCTGCAGATCATTTTCACCGCCCGGCAGAATGGGCCGTCACAGAAACCGTTGCAGCGGCATCGCGCTTCGGCGCTTTCTCCTTCACTTCTGCAGCGCAGAAACATGCTCTGAACCTGTTCTCTTATATTTGTTTTTCTTCGGCGTGATTGCTATTCCCAGGATAACCTATATGTGCCAGTCATCCATGGTGGAGGCCCTATAAGTACGTGCTGACCCCTGCCCGTCCGCGGAAAAGGCCACCATTGTGACTCGGGCCACCTTTATATGCACCGTATCAGGGGACTATACCAAGTCGACAGTCAACTAGCTCCGTTGTCAATTTCACCTCTTCCGCATAACTTCCTCTTGAATAATTTCCATCTTCTAGATTTGTCTAATACCAATTTAAATCTTCGGGGATTCTCGAGCCCAACCTTGCGCTTGTAAGCGCGTGAGCAATTACTTCATGTTCTGATTTCATCTACCTTGTGGCCAAGACTATACGAAGATGACGTCCAGTTCTGCCCCATCAGACAATTCAATGTCGAATTCAAACGCGACCAGTGGAACACAAGGGTTTACTTTGCACGTGCTGTGCCCGTCGCTTCCGCCTCCTAATCGCTTTACATTCAATGATCTGGTACCTTCCATCACTATCGCTGGTCTCAAGGCGCGAATATCCCAATCGATCCCCAGTAGGCCATCTCCAGAGACTCAAAGATTAATATATCGTGGGAAACCCATCTCAAATGATGATTGGACTTTGCAAAAGGTGTTAGAGCCTGCAGATGTGAGTATCGCGATGACCTTTGTTTTGGTTAACGTGTCCGCGGGTAGTTGTTTAACTAGATATGTCTATTAGGGCGCTGAATATTCCATGCATCTTGTTCTTCCACCAGCTCCTCTACCACCTTATGTGGCGACTTCCCCCAGACCTTCGCCATCACCACAGTACCAAGCACCCCCCGGCATGCCTTCACCAGATCATCTGTTTGCACCCAGCCGATCTGCTCCGCCATACCCAATGCAACATGGGCAAGAGGTGAGGTACCGAGGATCAATGGGTCCTAGTGAAGCAGATATTGGGCTAGCTCTGCGACGTAATATTGAAACCATCCGCCGCCAAATCGAACTGCGGGAGCGAGGGGGCTCGCCCTTATCAGATCAGCAAGGAACCGAACATACCCAACAATTTCCCTGGCAGCGTATGACGCCATTACAATCTTCAACGACTACGTCAACGTCAACATCAACAATGTCGTCGCATCCGTCAGACCTCAATGCTAGTTTATCTCAGGATACTAGACTCCGTCTGCACATACTACGGCCGCAAATTGCGTTATGCGAAGACCAACTCAATCGAGGCATCGCGCCCCCTATGGACCAAGTGATTCGCATTCGGTCACAATTGTTCGATATTCTTGACGATCAGTATAGAAACCCTTTGTCTGAACGTGACGGCTCTATAGAAGCCTTGCTCACTCGGGTCTTCAACATCTACACCCGCGCAGATCAGCTCCGCGTAAGCCAGTCTAGGGCTACTGCATCCATGCAGCACAATACATCCGATAGTCCTGGGAGTAATGGCCATGAACAGGCCTCCCTATATCTTCTTTCATCACCAAGTGGATACCAGGCTCTGGTTACCTCTCCTGGTGCAGTGAGGTCAATCGAATCGTCGCTAAGCGCATTTCGCTCGACGCATGCGTCGCAGGCAATATCTACCCACGCCACAGGCCATCCACCTCAGGCGCATCCCAATCCGAACGCTGCCATCATGGAGAATGCCGTCCGTCAAGCAGTCCTTAATCAAAGACTGGGCAATAACGAGGCAGGAGGGTTCGCTCGGAGCATACGACGCATTTGGTTGTTTGTTCGGCTGTACTTCTTTTGCTATATGTTCAGCGAACCCGGCACTTGGTCGCGGGTCCTGTTGGTGACCTTGGCTGTCATTGTATCTCTCCTGTCGGAAACCAGTGTCCCGCGCCAATTATACGGGATGATTGTGTCTCCAATTCAACGACACCTTGAAGGACTGATACACTTTACCACCGACGAACACGTACCGCCGCGTCCTCGGGGCACAGATACCACGGGTAGCTCAGGAAATGCACATCAGCCCGGAGATAACCGAGCTGCCACCCCAGCGGGAACGCGCCATAGCCTTCGAAGAGTAGAGCGATCTTTGGCACTATTTATCGCTAGTCTGGTCCCGGGAGTTGGGGAGAGGCATGTCGAGGTGCGCAATGCAGCCGAGGCCGCTCGAACTGCGGAGCGCGCACGAGAAGAAGAAGAGGAACGCCGTAGACAGGAGGAGGCTAGCAACGGCGAAGGAGTGACTGAACAGGAGCAGCAGGATCATGAAGAAAACCCAACTTCCCGCCCAGAGTCGTCTGTAACCAACCCCGCCACTGAAGACGGACTTCACACCTCAATACCCCATGGAGATGAGCAAGATGCAAGGTGATCACTCCCATCGCTTCATCTATCTATTCCCATTATCTGTTGCGTTAGTGTTGTACATAGCTGGCGTCAAAGTAGCGTTGGAATTAGCGTAGATCCTTACGGACGGATTTAAAACATGGTGATATGAACCTTCTTGCAATTAGACACGCTCGAGAATCTATGTTCTGGTATATAGTCTATTATGTGTATTCATTAGTCCCCTTTAACTGGGCCTACAACATGCACAGAAAGGCCACTAATCATCGATTAAGGTCGGGATCACAGTTTCGTGCCTGTCCTCTCTGCGGACGTATCTTGACTCGACGTAGGCAAAGCTGAAGAAGGAGCCATGGGACCGGTATCAAATGACTCTTCCCCGTTGAAGTGCCTGGAATGGGAAATAGTGTTAGTATGACCAATCGAACCCCTGAGGAAACAAGATAGTGGATCAACTTACCACCCCCTCTCAGCGCCTGCGCTCAAAAAGCTACAGTCCCCATTTAGAACACAGTCCCATCCCCCACTGACTCCCTTCCCCCCTCGCCAAACGGGCACAACCGTCCCAGGTCGAATAACTCTCGTTCCTAACGCCAGCTCCCGCTGTTCTGCGCTGCTATCGCCAGCGCTGGGCGTCACCCCCCTCCGAACAAACGTACTTAGACCCGCTGTAAACACATTAAAGTCCTCTTCATCAGCGTCATCCGGCATGTTTCCTGTCAAAACCCGTCCCATAGCAATCAACGGAGCCGCATGCGCACAAATCAGAATCGCCTTACTGGTGCGTTCGGACGGCGGCTGGGATGCTTCCAAGGCATTGATTTCAGCATCAACATCCGCAATGATCCCCGCTAATGCCGTAGCTACCCTGTCGTGAAGCTGGGCGATCGTTTCACCGCGGGTAGAGGGCACGAGATGCGGGTTGTAGTTGGCTTCCGGGTCCGAGGCAAGGAGTGTTGGGAAATGGGTCTTGAGAGTAGCAGGAGATGGAGCGGAAGGGTGATCAAAGAAAGAGGTTGGACCGAACCACTCTCTATCAACATACATTAGTTTTGACCAGCAGTTGAGGCTAACAGCAGAAAGATCAATTACCCGACTCCGTTTTCGATCCTCACATCCAGGTCCGCATTCCGGTCTATACCTGTTTCGCTAGAGGGTGCGGAATTATGTCTCTCTTTCAGGGCCTCGACAGATGGTTGAATCGTCTGCAGACACCGGTAGAATGGGCTCGAGTATATCCGGAAGGGTTTCGGTGAGAACTCGGGGCTGACTAGGTGCTCTGCCAGCTCGAGCGATTGGCGCACACCATGTGAGGTTAGGGTTGGGTCTGCGGGATTGCCGGTAGGTGTTGGAAATTGAGACTTGTATTCGCCTGTCTTATAGTCGATTGTCCAATTTAGACGATGCTGTTGTTTGGTCTTGCTTAGTGCTTTGTGTTGTTTGGTGGAGGGGTAGAGATGGAGGTATACCTACGCCATGTCGGGTGAGATATATGGTGTCTAGGGGCATTGTGAAATGGTTTACAATCAATGCTGCAGGTATAATATCTTTGGAGAAACTTCTTCAATGAAACTAGTATATGGTAGAAATGTATGTACAAGCAAATGAGGGTTGCGGGGAAGAGATAAGAGGCAGAGAATGCGGAGGCAAAATACCTCGGCTTAGATTTAGCAAATGACGCTAGCACGAATAGGGAATGGAATCAACAACCCAGCCCTAACAACCCAGGCCTTCAGCATGAACTGTCACAGATCCGATGTTGACTCTGCAGGATGGCTGTGCAGTATACCTTGCGTCTTATGCATTGACATCTCGGCAGCCGAATGCCACTGATGGACTCCGGAGCTGTCACCTTTCTAATGATGAATACTAGCCCCTAAGATATACTGACTTAGTCTGTATCCAAGGGCTTCCCAAAGTTATAAAATAGTATGATATGGCTAGCAAAAGAAGTCAAGAATCGGTCTCCCATTTTATGATTATCTACTGTTTACCTTTGCCCTTGTACCCTTACCTAGTTGACCGGTTTTCACCACCGATTAGCAGATATTTCACACGATGTCTCTGTTCTCACTGCGGGAGAGTGAATGGGCCATTGGATGTTCAACTCCGCGACTGTCAGGCTCGCTCCCTGAAATTGACGTAGAAGACTGGACTGAATCCATTGGGCAGTTGTGGTGATGGTCACTCATCTTTCATCAAGCCAAAAATAAATGTATGCTTGCGGGTATACTAGGCTGATGGCTCGTTTCGTCCGCTCACATTGCTCGGGAATACGCCACGCTGCCACATAAGATTTCGCCTTCCCGTGGCATGCGTCCAACGCATCCTTAGCTGGCCCGATCATCGTTGCTAAGCGGATTGAAACGGAGCCATAACGTTCAAACTCGGAGCAAGTGCGACTGCTGGCAACCACATATACGGTCAACTGCCCTGCACATAGGCCAATGACCTCGGAATCACACATTTCGCTTACTTGGAGATGAGAAATAAACTCTTGGAGTGGATCATCACATCCTGGATTCTTTTCTTCAACAAAACGCCAATACCCAATCCAGCCAATCATCACCACAATAGGTAGCAGAAGAACATGTCCCAATTGAGGTGAGCTTTCGTTCCGCATTGAATCCTTCTCGAAGCCAGCTGTGGAAGTCTTCCAACCTCGGTCTCTTCCAAGGGCCGTGTAATTCTGATAGGAATTGCCGCGCATTCATATGTCCCCACATCTGCCCAGGGAGCAACTCAATCTGTTGAAGGTACTGCCATGATAGCAATCGTGTTGGAGCTCGCTGGTAAATCACCGGTGCCACTCGCTTTGCGTACTATGGAGAGATAGAGGTGAGCCACATCAGCACGCCTATGCACTGTAAACGCTAAATATGAGAATTTAGATATAAGCGGTGCAAGATTGGGCAGTTGATGGGTCTAGAAACTTGGGACATGTCGGTCAAAACAGATTGGTACGCAGTGAGGAAAGACCCACAGCTTCTTGCTCAAACTCGACCTAACTGATTGCTCAACCATGGCCCCCAAGCCTACGTATGCGAAGAGTTTGATACTGCAGCCAATTCAGTTCTTACTGAGTGCGCATATATACCAAGAAACATACCGTACAATGGACTTCGAGGACGAGAAATGGGCTAATGAGCCCAAGGAAAGCCCAGATATTGGGTTCAGGCTGTGAACAAATAGCCGAGCAAAAGCAATAGTATCTTTATTCGATAATGCCCAACAATCGCTTCATTCGATCATAGACATAGAAACTCGTCGCCGCCATGGGAGCCATTTTCACGTAGCCAATTGTCAGGCCAACATAGAAACCCCTGACTCCTCTCTCTAGAACTACGCGACGAGCTGTCTCTAAAACTCCTGATCTGCTACCAACCACACTTCCGACTTGCATTCGTCGCCGAAGGATATCAATTGGATATGCAACCGTTTGAGCAACAATGCCAGCGATTGCTCCGCAACAAAGCTGCGCAACTGCGGTCAGTCGAGTTGATGATCCCTTTTCAAGAGTATAAGGTGCAAAGAAAGGTGAGCGCAGCTGTTCTCTCATTAAATCATGGGTTACGAATGATGTGCCCGCATAGGGAAGTATGCCTAGCATAGTCGGGCCAATTCCTTGATAAAGATTTAATAGGGTACCTTTACCGCCGCTTTCAAAGTAAATCTTTCGACAGATCCTGAACCAAGAGGAATTTTTGCTCTGTTCTGTTTCAAAAGCAAGACGGATGCGGATCAACTCAAGAGGATATGTGAAGACGGTAGCAATAGCACCCGCCGTACTCCCGCAAAAGAATCGATGATATGGGGTGGTGGTCTGGGGTGATACGATGATTGCACATTGGAGTTGTTCGTACGCGAGAAAGTTGATACCAGCGTACGGAAAAACGCGGATCAGGCTGGCCGCGTGACCTTTAAAGAGCGCATATATCCCATGCGATGTCCGAATGTGACTGACAGCCTCGATTAAACCATTCCACCGGGTTGAATACCGCAGGAAATGCGGATTCGACGTTTGAAATAGAATCTTGATTCGCTCCATTGGAGCAACAATGGTCTTGGCCTAGACATATCTTGCTTCAGTAATAGACTGTGGCTAGTGAGAACAGAAGACTCACTGCGCAGCCTGCAACACCTCCCGCTACTCCATTTCGCCAATCCAAAGTCCGGTTTCGTCTGCATTTGCTCGATTCTAACCCACGATTACCACCGGGACTGCTTTTCATCACATTGGATGAATCTTTTACGAGCAAACTACTGGCACCAGTGTCACCCATTCCGCGAGAAGAAGCAGTTGATGATAGAAGGGACTGTGTTTGGAAAGTCGAGACTAAATAGGGAGATCCAATAACAACTAGGGTATATCACGTGGCTCTTACCCAATAGGAGCCAAGGATTCCCGTCGGGAAAAGGAAAGTTCAAACCGATCTAGCGATATTAATGGCGAGTATTTTCCGAGCAGCTCTTCTACAAAGGGAAAAAACCACAATCTGAGGGCTAAGTAGAAATACTATCTTCCTGGTACAGTGGTAAAAACTTAAAACCCCTCTCTTCGCTTACACGGAGAAATTCTAGACTTGAGATACTCAAGATTACGCTACGACAGGTATACCTGGTATAGTAGATTAAGAGTAGCCGCTAAACAATAACCTTATAGCCAACATCGACCGGACATTGCACGGCGTTAAGCGGATCCTCCTTACCCCACCGGTGGGGTCGGCGGGGTGATCCGATCCATAGGGAAGGACCCGCGATAAGCTTATCCTCTTCAGGGTTCAGCATGCAAGCTCTTTGTCTCTGTCTCTCTGTCTCTCTTATCCCCATCCCCTAACTCCGACAACCTAGCAAGGGTATCAGTGACAAAATGAATTGCATGGAGAAATCTAGAGTCATATTACAGTGCCTTCTTTTCCCGAATCTATCCAGTTGTTGGACATTTATTGGATCTCAACTGAGGCTGTTATATTATTGTATGTATAGCTACACAGGGGTGCTTATATAGTACTCTTTCCTATCTCAAGACTTTCAACCTACTCCGTATAGTGCATTAAGCCCTAATCTCCTTGATATATAACCCTCTCAGCGTCGGATTTGTCTCCACACTTAGGATTCAAGATGCTAGCCGATGAAAGTGCTGATCATACTCCAGAGCAGGACTGGCTTCATGAAAAGAAATCCCCAGGACTGCAGGATACAAACATCGACCAGCAATCCTCGACATCCCCTAGCGATGAGGGTGAATATCCGACCGGCTTACGATTGCTTTTCATTGTTGTTGCCTTGGTCTTGGCAATTTTCTTAACTTCCTTGGACTTTGTGAGTTCGACGCTTTCTTTGGGGGAATATGACAGGATTGAGAAAGGCTTACATTGGTCTTTTTCCTTAGACCATTATTTCCACGGCTATTCCACGTATTACCGATGACTTTCATAGTCTCGGAGACGTGGCTTGGTACGGGTCGGCCTTCTTCCTGGTGACTGCAGGCTTTCAAACCGCTTGTAAGCTTGATATCCCCCTTCCACTGTCTTGTTCCTACTAACAACAACGAAAAGGGGGCAAGGCGTATCTCTTTTTTAGCTTGAAGATCACATTCCTGCTGGCCATTTTCATCTTCGAAGTGGGGAGTTTGATCTGTGGAGTCGCCCCTTCCTCGGTAGCTCTGATTGTCGGCCATGCGATCGCTGGTTTGGGTGCTGCAGGCGTGAATACAGGATCCTTTACCCTGGCTGCCTTTTGCGCACCCCCCAAAAAAGACCTATATTTACAGGATTGATCGGTCTTTCCTATGGTGAGCTCGGGAATACTACTCTCACAGACTTGCCGACCTAGCTAATTTAGTCTATAGGAATCGCATCGGTCGTGGGACCACTTCTTGGCGGGGTTTTCACAGAAAAAGTCACCTGGAGATGGTGCTTCTATATCAATCTACCAGTAGGTGCGGTCTCAGCAATCTTCATTATCGTCTTTTTCCAAAGCCCGCCAGCCTCGAAGTCTACGGATACCTCACCGGTGTGGTCGAAAGTGATGCAGATGGACCCCATTGGGACCTTATTGATGATGGCTTCCGTGACCTGCTATATCCTCGCAATGCAATATGGCGGATTGACCCATCCCTGGAACAGTTCGGTTGTCATTGGCTTAATCGTCTGCTTCGTGGCGATCCTAGCCGTTCTCTGTGGCTGGGAAATATACATGGGCGAGATGGCCATGTCCTGCCCTCGCTTGGTAAAACAGCATGCGATTCCCTCGGCAGTGGGCTTCTTCTTCTTCTTCGGTTCATACATCGTGGTGATTTATTATCTGCCCATCTACTTCCAGAGTATTGATGGCACTTCCGCCATCGGCTCGGGTGTTCATAACCTGCCTTTATTCCTCGCGGTGTCCATTTTCACGGTTCTCAGTGGCATTTTGATTTCCATGACTGGCTATCCCGCACCGTTTGTTATATCTGGGGCCGCAGTTGGCACAATCGGATGTGGCCTTTTATATACATTCAATATCGGTACCAGTACAGGGAAATGGATTGGCTATCAAATCCTAGCCGGCGTCGGCAAATGGATTTGGAGTCCAGGTTCCGATGATCATGGCACAGGGAAATACCGAGCCACAAGACATGGCAGCGACAACTGCTATTCTAATGTGTAAGTCAATACTCCTTCATTCCAGCGTAGTGCTCAACATCTAACTATGCCATCTGTACAGGCTTCCAAACCGTCGGTGGTGCCTTTATGCAATCCGGTGCCCAAGCCGCATTCGCAAATCGCCTCCTCATTGAACTCCCCCAAACAGCACCAGATGTTGATCCTTCCGCTGTAGTTGCTGCGGGAGCCACAGAGCTAAAATCATTCGGTTCCAGTCTAGATGGAATCCGCCTCGCTTACATGGACGGAATCAAAGTCACATTTGCATTGGCATGTGCTTCGATGGGTGTGGCTTTCCTCTTGGCCTTTTTCGCTCGGCGAGCACGGATTGGGGGGGAAGCCGTGAAAAATGCCATGGCTGCTGCTTAGATCCACAAGTTTGGTGTTTCAATCCGAAATCTTGTTCCTTGGTGCCTACAGTACTCTTACCATCCTCGGGTATGGTTGAAAAATGGTCATGTATCTGTGTAACATAGTGGACTACTTCGATTCAAGCTACGTTTTATGTTGTCGTGAATAGAATGTTGTAAGAAATCTCAATAATATCATAATACTTCCGAAGATTGGTATGCGATTCCCGTTGCACGACCGAATAAGACAACATAATTTACTTTCCCAAAGATAGAATATCTCGGGAGATTTGGTTTAGGGCTCAAGAAGCCCTTTGATACGGCTACCGTAGTACGTACAGCCGAGCAATAAGCTGCTGGGCGGGGTCCGTCCCGTTCCCGACTTACCCGCTGGAGCCCTAATTGCTAAACTGTCAGGTATTGGATTCGCATCTGCTGGTGGGGTAATGCGGAGGTAAAATAAAGTCCGACAAGTGGGAAGGAGGCTTGTGTCTAATATTGTTGCAGAGAGGCTTAACTCTGACGTGAGAATCTATGCAATATTGAAACATGTTGCATACTGTTTTGAAAAAGTAGAAAAGTCTTCGGGTGATAAGTTTCTCTGTTATAGGAATAGAGTGGGTTCAGAACTAAGGTACTAGATGGGACAAACTGTTAGTATGTTACAAAACAAAGTTACATCTTAAACATGAGGAAGGTTCACAGTCTATAAGTCTATACAAACCCAGAACTTGAAAAGAAAATTGACCTCTAAGGTTATTGTGTTAGGTTATCCGCGTAAGCTTTCAATGCCTCCGCCATAATTCCATACAATCCAATTGTAGCGCTGTTCTTGAAGATCGAGGACCAGGCATAGACCAATTGTACCGAATAGGGCTTTGACGCAATAGCTGGCTCTAGGTCTATTTCCGCTAGCGTCTCTTTTGTTGCTTTTAAAATGTCATTTTCCTCTGGAGATCGATCTGGTCTATTGCGTCCCAACTGCTCCCTCGTCCAAAAGCTTAGAAAAAGACCTTTGGAATAATTTCGGTTAATTCTCGATATTACCAGCGCAGGGCAGGAGTGAGTGGCAAGGAAAAGGGAGGTGGAAGAAATGAAATTACTCACAGCATTCCAATGAATAGGTGTTGAATAATAATTTAGAGTGCCATCCTGAAATGGATCCTGCTTGAGCCATTCCCATTACTACTGAAATCTGGAGTGCTTCAATAGCACACCAAGCGGCTTTCACGCATGTCCTTGAGCTTGATATGTTGACTTTGATGTCATTTAACTTGGAAGTGATATTCAGCAAATTTCTCGTCGTCAAGGCCGCTCGGAGAGGGCTAAAGTTTCCACACAGTCGAACATGAGCCTGACGATACAACGAAAGGGCATTTGCGGCAATCACTCCGCTAGGGTACCTCGATGAACAATGAAACTCGGGGTTCTGCTCGGACAGCATCCGCCACCTAGCCAACGATTCTTCAATCCGTTGTACGTGCGTTGGTAATGAATCTATAAGCCAGTTGTCCTGGTAGAGATTCGCCAGATGTTTCACAATACCGTGCAATGCCAGGTAGGACCCGAAAAGGCTCAGTCGAAGTGGTGGTGCACTTTGGGCAGACATGATATTGGCCAGAGCAGTTGAGAATTGAATAGGGGGTTTGGGGTTGGACTTTCGCTTTTCCAACCACGCTTGTGGGGATATACTTGTCCATTCAGATTCATCGCAAGGCAGAAAACAATCACTAATATCCAGGCTCCAGGAATAGCTTGCAGTGGGAAACGTGGCTCCCAGGGCACACAGATAGACGTATACTGCGCAAATTGTTCTTTCATGTCGGGTTAGACGTACTTCAAATTTCTAAGAAAGGATACCTCCACGCACCGTAAAGTCATCTCGGAGTCAATCCACTTCTGCCATTGCTCTAGAATATTATCATTTCCACCGACTGATTCTGGCACGTATGGAGAGATCTTTCTATACTGAATGCCCTGTGAAGTAAACCATATATCAGTGGCCTCATTTTGAGTACATACCAGAATGTAAGGATTCCAGAGTGGGGTAGACCAGAAGGCTGCACATGTGCTGTCTCCAAACGGTGAATCCTCTGAATTGCTTAGACATACCTCGATCAAAAGAGATGCTAACGATGCAGATTCTTGAAAAGTACGAAAATCGCTATTTTTGGTACCATTTGCCATGATCAATAGCAGGCACTGCAGTACCCATAGCGGCTCGTCTGCGATAGTGAGTGGGCTCAATTCAATCTTCTGCAAATTAGAGAACATACCGAAAGCGTTGTTGTACTTCGCTCACATAATTTTTTATACACATCTGGGCCATGCAATGAAGTGAAGTCGCAGTTGCATCGTCGTCATAGTAACTGGCACCAATAGATGCCATCGCAAAGATCATGCAAGGAGGAGCCAGCTCTGCTTTCCAGGTCGGCATATGAATACATGGGATGTAAATGAGAAAGCACTCAGCGAATGCTCTGAGTAATCTCTCCAATGTCAAGCGACTCGGAAGTTTAAAATCACTCAAACTTTGGACCTAGTACGTGAATAGTCAGGTACTGAGTGAGGATGGGGCATGGCGTTGTCCCAGGCATCATCTCAAAGCTTACCGGTCTAACAATATTGAGTGTGGAAGCAAGATGATGCCATTGTTGCTCTGAAGCTAGCTGATGCCATTGTTGTTCTGATATGGCGAACGAACCTTTCCACGCCGGGGACTCCACCGCCTGCGATGAGGATGCTGTGTTGGTAGGGTTATCTAATGGAGGTGTAAAGCACCTCAATGTCAGACTGGCAGGTGAACCTTCCTGTGAGCTCTCTTCCGAATTGCTCGGCATGGAAGATTCGGGATCCTTTGGAAAGTTGAGCGCTGAGGTCGAAGAGTTCATGGTGGAAGTATACACCAAGGGTACGGGGTCGACGGCAGGAGGATGCGTCATAGCGGTCAAGCCCTCCGTATCATTCGGTGCCATGGCCGATGAGGTTAAGGGGCTAGGCATTCGCGTGGACCTGGGATGCATAGACATCGACTGGTTTTCAATGTAGTTTCCTTGGCTATGATGTTGCGGGAAGGGTCCCGTGTGATATCTTCCATGGTGCCTTCTGAAAACATCCTGTCGAGTAAATGTTGCATGACAAAGAGTACATCTAAACGGGCGCTCATTACGATCTAGAGATCTGGTTAATATGGTTGCTCCTGCCGTGGTGGGTCTACATACGTGAGCGCTCATGCCTCGAAAGGTGCTCCGATCGGGCGAATGCACGGGCGCAATAGGAACATTGTTTATCACGGCGCGTCAGGCCAAGCCCTGTGTTGGCACTCATTATTCTGGGCTGCTCCAGACATAAAGTTGCAAGGTCTCTTGCTATTTAGTACTTTTTCAACTTGTGAGGTTCACGACTGCAGGGAACAAAGACGCTTGTTGTCAGGTGACGTGGTATGTATTAAATGTGTAACGTATTACCAAGTTTACCAAACACAACATATTTGAGTCAAGAACTAGTAAATCTCCATATTTTCTACCAAGTCTATTACTAGTCTACGGGGTCAATAATCGGACTATCGGCTAGATCGGTTCGGAAAACATTTATACGGCCCTATAATATTTTCTATACGGCTGGCAAAACTTTGTAGAAGGAAATGATAGACAAGTAGACCCACAGGGTTCAGCTCGATCTATTCGCACCCTAGGGCCTACCATAGAGCATCACAGCTTATATTGCGCCAGGGAGCCCACATGTGAGCTGGGTATCCGTCTATTTTTGCCCTCCTGTTTGAAGGAAAAAAAAATAAAAAGCAGCATCTATTTTTTCTCCTCTGTTGGACACAAACGTACAAAATGGATCAGTATGTTGACAGTATGCCCTATGTTCCGAACCGCGCGGAATACGAAGCCCGAGCACGATCGGTTCCGCGGCATGAAATCGAAGAAGCTGTTCTGCCAGAGGGATTCCCAGTCAACATAACCTCGAAAATGGCTTGGGACAGGGACAGTATTGAGTCCTACAAGGATGGCTACATATTGAGCTTGGACGATTCACAGCTGAAGGAGATTGACGATGCACTGCAGAATTTCAAGTGTAAAGCGGCTTGTGCCCCAAATCTAGTATATTTTTGTTGCATCGGAAAGGAGGCTGAAGTTTCATCTACACAGCTCTAGGAAAGCCTCTGGAGGTTCTTAACCCTGCTACCTTCCCCCTGCCATCGCTACATTCTATCCTGCGCGGTGTATCGGATAATATCCACACAGGCACTGGATTCTCCCTGATTAGGGGCATTCCTGTCGATCGCTATTCGGCGGAGGAGAACATGATAATATATGTTGGTGTCTCTTCTCATATAGGCCGTATCCGTGGCCGTCAGGGCTACAAGTATGACGGGTGTCCTGCAGACGTTGTTGTTACGCATCTCAC